ACATGTATGTTTTGTCCCATTGCTTCAACGGAAATTTAGTTGATTTAGAACCACGCATGCTCAGTGTTTAACGGTTTTTTGCGCTAGCAGACGACGCGCTTCGTCATATTGTAGATAACAATGGAACAACGATAAAAGCAATAATTTACACAAAATACATGGTTTATTTAAAAGTATTTAAAAAGTAAAAAGTATGTATATGTAAAGAGTAGGGTATGTTTCTAACTTACATGACATTTCAGAGAAAAAAACAGACAAGTGCAGTTAAAAATTAATGTGAGTTTATTCACTCACTTACCACGAACAAAAATTCAAAAAGGTACATTTGATTGCAAAAATGTCTCCAGTGATATCTCTCCATGGCAATACATGTACTACTCTCGTGGCAGCGGTCCACTACAATTTATGTCACCTATAAGCAACAAAATACATGCTCAATATGACGTTAACAAGAGTGGCCTGGTCACGTTGGACCAGTATGTTTGCAGTCACTAAGCATCTCTAAAGTCTCATATGCCATGACAGCCCGTCGGTCGCCGGCCCCCGCTGTACCCACAGAGGACGCGGGGATCGTACATGCATTACCAGTTATGTAATTTATATACCAAGCGTCGCCTTGGTGACGGCTTCGCGGAACACTTGCGCAGTGTGCGCCAACAAACACCCAGTCTCACTGTCGCGCCCAATGATCTCCATTATATAATGGAGTTCAGTGGTCGCGCGGCACTATTGTGCGCCACACTGCATACCCTTAGTGACGTAAGCGTCTGCCTGCATGCAGCGGAAAGCGTCATTCGATGTAAACCGTAAGAAATGGAGCAGCGCGTCATCTTCGAACTTAGAACGCTGCATCCAGCCAGCTGGAATGAACGTGGATCTTTCTGCGTTCATTCAGAACTGAATCTGCCTCCCCTGACAAAGGTATTATACAAATACAGCATGGTTAATTGAGGGGAAGTAATGGGAATTACTGGTCCCGAGGCGTAGGTCAGTTCGACAGCCTCCCGACACGAAGCGGATTTTTAATTTTCAAACAACAAGAATCCTTACATTAAAATTCAAACTTCCACTTTGAATTGCAGTGATCAGCTTTTATAGCCCAATCACCTTATATTTAGTCTTAGAAATGTTTGTTCACCTGCTTCGCGCAAACTACCACAAAATAACAAGACCGGGCATGGACATTCTTCTACGCGCATGCACACTTTTTAAATTTCCCCGGCGAATATACGTGTCAAGCGTTGCTAAGCACCTACGGACTTACAAGCCTGACATGCAATCAATAATTCCCAAATCGCGATTAGCACTTCAAAGAAGGAAGCTCACCTTTCAATGCGATGGTCATGTAAATTAATCATCAACTGTGGTAGTCCTCTCCATCAATCATTTTGTCCTCTACCAAGGGATTTTGAATTGCTGAAACGATCACAGTGATGCATCATAATGTTATGCACGCGTTTTTGTGTACCTGTACACGTTGTAAGAAATATATGATATTTTGCTCTCTTTATTATTTTCTGTGTCAAATTACATTGTTGAGTATAAATCCCTGATATTAAAAGTCCATTCTATGGGGTAGGGTTATAAGATAGATATAAAATTATCTTATTTTTAAAAATGTGATAAAAATAAATTGGTAGTCTCACAGTCACTAAGAATCCAAAATCCTTAAAAAATAAATTAGCCACCGTTTTAGTAGTGTCTTCTTAAAAAAATCCCCCCAAAGTGAGACATATCAAGCAACTTGCTTTCTCTCAAATTAACGAGTGCAATAGTGAGCGCTACATACCGAAATGTTCTGAGACAAAATATGAGCAGAGTATTTAATTAATAATTGTCTTTTTATGAGAGGTTACTGTTTTCATTTTATTCCTTCCTAACAATATTGTAAGGTGTTCCAAAGGTGACACGTCACGTTGCCGTCACCGTCCCTGACGCCAACAAGTGGGCTCATGAGGGAGCCCCATATTGTGAGCTGTGGCTATTCTCCATCTTTTCATTACTTCATCGTATTATACCTCCAGATACATTCCACCAAATCGTTGTACATGTGTTTCTGCGCGCGAGCTCGTTAATATTTTGTGATCTCAATAAGACATGCCAAAATCAGGACGGATCATAGAAATATTTCTATAAATCCCGAATTTTGGACCGATAGTTTCCAGTTCGGGGTGTTCACAAAAACCCCAAATTGCGGGCCTATTTTGGATAGAGGCGGGCGGCTACATTCAGAGCTGAGCACATGGTTTTACTACTATTTGGGGGGAATCTTTTGGAAAGGCGAATTAAAAAACATCTCGTGGCTAACCTCCATAAAATTGAAACAAAAGTGCTCTTCTGGCCATAATCTTGAATTTCCAGTGAAAAATCGGAGTACAACATACCCCTTCCCGAGAGTCAACAGGCGGCGCTATTTCGGTCTGATTTTGCACTGTTTTCTATGGGCGCGTATATTGGGTGCAGTGCATCCCGCAAACAGGGCTGGGCATTGAAGACTCTTCAAGCCAAGGCTTTTCAATTTTCATTCATTGTCCACTAACTCAGCGCACAAACGAATACCATAAAACAACCCCATCCCGAAGAAAAAATGCGCCTTCAAGAGTCTGGCAAAGCGACGGCGACATGACGTGTCGTCTTTGGAACACCATAATATCGTGTCTATACGCTGGTAAACACAATACATGAAATACGTATTAAAAGCTTTGCTATCTAGGGAATGAGAGTGTTGATGGAAATGAGTCGACAAAAATGAAGCGAGTCAACACTTATTCTTGATGCAGATAGACCCCATAGTGTATTTATCCTTTTACGTAAGGGGTAAGTGAAACAAAAATGTTCGGGGAATTTGACTGACCGCTTTTTGGTAAAACAAACACCTGCTAAGCTTTCTTATCAGATGAAACTAACTGAAACGAACTGTGAGGTTGATAGGTCACAAGGTTCGATCAAGCCTCTTCAGAGGCTTAGAAAAAAAGATCCTACTATGATCTTCTACGATAAGACCTCTTCATTTAAAAGATTTACTTCGTTACATTTATAATTAAATAAAGACGTCTTGAAGAAAGGCGCATAGAGCGTCCAACGCACGGGAATCTAGCCTTTCAGTGCATGGAGACCTCTGCACATTACACACACTAGGAAGATCGGGGCAGATTCATCCGGTTCTCATTCCCAAGAGGGCTTTTATTAATATTGAACCCTTCTCTCAGTCCTACAGTGGACACCTTCTCTTGTTAAGTCCTTTTTTAGCCTTCATGCAAATGGCCCTTTTTTCCAGTCCCGGAGAGAGCCTCCCCTTGAGGATTTTCAGCCTTGCTGAAAGCTTTCGGGCTTTGGTTCATTAAGTAGACTCTTTCGTAGGCTGAACATTCAGCCGTCATTCAATTAAGAACTGAATTATTTAGAGTGTTAGGCAAAACGGCAACAGATTAAAGGTAAACTGTTACTAATATACTTATCAATCTCGTTGGAATGTAAAGAGTGACGACGAATACGTTCTTGTATACCCCATGATATCAGCAATCAGGGCTTGTTGAGGAGAAGACCAGAGCACTCTCCGTTACAGCGACCTGCTATCAGAATTGGTCACTTTTCACCAACTAACCTGCATACCATTTACTTCTTTCCGTCATCAGTTTGTGATGATTTTTACGCTGAGAATGTGCCAGCTGATTGTGGTTGAAGAACGCATGTTTGAATGTCAAATCGGAATCATTTCGCGACCACTTTAAACCGTTGATTAATTTAATGTGTCGGATAGAATAAATTATCAACGAGAGAATATAGCATATGTCAAACCACCATTCCCTGAGGGTTTATTACACGCGAACCATCCATTTTCCAGCGTACACTGTGCACATGTAATAAGCATCCTAAATAGAAGTTATGCTAATGACACTCAATAATATCATAATGAGAGGCAGCTAAATGCCGCTGCTCTACAAGCAACAGGTGTTACCTAAAATAACAATAACTGCTGTTACTCCTTAGAGCTCCGAGAAGGAACATGTTCACGGGTACTACGTTAACAACATAAATTTGATTGTTGGTTTTGGAATGATATCTTCCTCTCAGGCAAGTCCGAAAATAATTTATTCCATTTCGTTTATTCATGCAGGGGATGAAAACTCCCAGAGAATGAAGAGAGGTGATAGCAAAATACAAAACAGGGTTTCAAAACGTCGGGGGAGGGTGGAGATTATGCTCCTCAGGCCTTTGTTTTTACGGCCGATTTGAAACGACGCTTCACACGTTCAATGCACTTCCCAAAGGAATCAGGAGAGATGTTTTGGCGCGTTTTAATTAAATTTGTGGATTTCCAACCTTGATCTTGATGGATAACTGCATGATTGTGCGACCAGTAATACGCCAACGATTATTCATCCCTAGCAACCATCCGTTCATCCCTTTTCTCATTGAGTCGTGATTCATTTTTTGGAGATTTATATTAGTTTCAATATGACAGTCTAATTACTAGTATTCTAACAAAATTCAAAGCAGATGCATGGGCTGCATTGACAAATGGCCACTCCAGGGTCAATCTAATGGCAAACCTGTGTGCAGTAAGCACAGATCTTCCAAATTGTTCGAAAAATAAATGAATTGCATAAAGATGATTAATTCCACTATTACATGCAGAGGAAAGGATAACGGGCCACGAAGCTGAGAATGTTTGTCTTTAGCGAACGATTGCGAAACCAACACAGCTCTGCACCAAGATCTGCATCAGCAAAAACCAGATAAAGATTTACTGTAATAATAGTAAACAAAAAAAATGTAATGCTAAAGAATTAAACAAAAATTTGCAGATGAATAGCATGTAAAATCCAGCATTTCTCTGTGTCTTCTTAGCCGCATATTGGAGGCAACGTCGTTGCTGATGTGACCTTAGACGGTGCTCTTTATTTTTGGCTTTTTGTTTTATTTCACTATGACTACAGTGGGTGAGGCTTAAAATTACTGACATCAATCATAATCTGACGAGGACGATAGGTAGCATACGGCAGAGGAGCTCAGTGACACTTCATTTTGAATAATTTAGCAGAGGGGGAAAGCGTTTATGAGTAATGGTCTGGTAACTAGGTAACCAAAATTCTAGTACAACGAGCGTCTTGCAGGACATGCAGAAATGATCCTTGACAGTGAAGCGAGGCCGGGGAGCGACCGTGGAGCTGGTAACTACCGCCAAGGTATCAGCCTAACCATGATGACAGAAGCCACGGCAGGAGGCACTAGTCCGTCGGGGACGGCATCGACTACGGAACAGCCGAGTGAGGAATGCGAGAACAGCTCACTTAAAGAACGTATAGCTACATTTGGGGACGAAACAACATTCCACGGGGTTCGCTTTGTAACGAATCACCAGCTACATTTTCTGCGAAGGTAAATAAATGGAATTCATTTTTCGACAGATTCACTGCTTTATGTGTGTTTACATGTTCATCACCACCGCAGATGTATCTTTTTAAAAACTTTTTATGATGTAGAATTCCCCCTGTCTTATTATAATCACTATTTTGAAAAAACAAATTCAATTTTTGATATTAAGGCTTTCAATCAACGGGTAAGAGCTACTTTAAAGACATTAATCAAGAAAGAGTGAAGGACAGTATGTAAGTCGCATGTTCTTATTTTAGAAAAAGATTGTCAAGATGCAACGTATCAACTTGGGAGTTCACACGCTTTTGAGTACATTTCTTGGCGAAAATATTTCGCCGAAGTATTCAATTATATTCCTTTTCAAATTGAAGAAGTTACACCCTTTAGAGTAATGTTTTACAGACAAGTCAGCTTAATCTAGAAATGTTATCCTGGGATAAGTGTTTGCTTTAAATAAAAGACATCTGCCTAGATGATTTGTGTTTGTTTCAGGCTTCTGTGGTTTTGCATTGTCGGTGGTATGACGGGTTATCTTATCTACGGTGTCTCCGTCAGCTTTATCACCTTTTATCAGCGTCCTGTGACAAGCGTGGTCAAGATCAACTATGTACGACAGATCCCCTTCCCAACTGTAACTTTCTGCAACTACAACCAATGGAAGAAATCTCGCGTCCCGCCTGAATTCTACGACGCTGTGCGCTCGCTCAATCCTGCTAACAAGAAGCCAGTGGATATGACCTACTTGAAGGCACACGATGTGACAAACCTCACAGATAAACTTATTAATGACACCCATCAGATTGAAGATATGCTGTTGGAGTGTACATTTAAAGAAGCTAACTGTTCAGCAGAAAACTTCACCCAAATCATCACAGACTTCGGAGTGTGTTATTCCTTCAACGATGATCCGAGCAACGTGCACTACGTTCATCAGTCTGGTAGTCAAAATGCACTTTTCATGAAGATTACTGTCGAACAAGAAGAGTACATCTTTGGCGAAAATAACGCGGCAGGGATCAAGGTACAGTACATACACCACAACTGGTCTCTATCTTTTATAATTTCTCACGATGACAGAATTTGGGACTCCGTCCCTATGTATGGCTCAGAAAGGAAACAGTAAAAACCTAAGACAAAATAAAAAAACCATTCCTGATCTGAACTGTGTGTTCCACTAATAATGATGTTTCCCACAGGTTTGGATAAGATAAAATGAGTTGGGAATGGAATACGGAGACTTGCAAGTAAAACATTAACGACACAACAAATCCCACAGTGACAAAAAGCGAAATTATCTCAACAATAGTGCTTTCAGAAATGAAAATCTCTATGTACTTCAGAGGAAACACTCAAAGGAGTACCAAATTAAGTGCTTCAATTAATGTCTTCATCAAGCAATAGCTCCATTTGCTCTGATTCCTAATGCTACAGAGCGAGCAAATCAACCTTCATCATTTTTCCATGAGAACATTTGAGCTTGTCTTTCAAAATGTAGGCAAAATCCATTGTTTGATGAAATAAATATGAACTTTTATGCTCAGTAATCAGAATTTATGGAGGTCATGATCCTTGAGCTCAATTATGCTGACAGGACAAATGGGCCTGCCTATGTTGCCATGTAAGTTCATAAGCATACTCAATAGGCAAAGAAGCAATTTAGACTTAAAGTTTCGAGTGCTTATCCCATTGGTATGCCTTGAAGAATTGCCGACAATATGAGTGTGTCACAACGTTTCCTGGACAAACGCAACTCTGTCATGAATTGTGACGAGTCTTTGATATGAAAATAGCAGATAGATTAATTTGAAACTCATATGCAATATTTACAAGGTAAATGAAAGAAATTCGGAGGAGAGTTTCCTTCAATTAAGGAACTCAATCAACTCGATGATTCGAATTGAATTAAACTCAGATTGGATCTACAATCAGTGACTCAGGAATTCCAAAGCAGTAGTACTTGGTTAATTGATTAACGTAACATAAAAAAGGAACCGTAAATATGTAAACTTGTGACTGGCTATAGTCTGATCAATAATTGGTAGCAAAAGTAAAGCAAATCAAAGTTCAGCCAAATAAATTAATGCTCATAATTAGCTGTCCATCGTATCCGATGACGACTTCCTTTGAACCAGTTCTCTCCATGGTACTCTCTGCTTGTTCAGTATAATGGCCAGCTACCAAGCGGGATGCCCGTGTCCTTAAGGTTTCGTTTGACGCCGTCTTTAAATCTGGGTTTAGGCCTTCCAATACCACGATTGCCAAATCTCAGTTCGGAAAATAGGAACTCCTTTGGCAGTCGGGAGTTTCCTGCCTGATCACATGACCTGTCCACCTAAGATTCCTCTGGATGAGCATGACATACATGCTTGCTAGATTGGCGCGCTGTAGGATGATCTTGTTCGGTTTATGGCGCGGTACACAGCACACTTGGTTTTCAATATGAGATGTTTGTTATGCCAAAAAACTTGGGAGGCATGTGTGTGGCTAACTCAGCATCTAACTTGTTATTTGGTGTGACGGTGGAACCAAGATATTTACTTTTTGATGCTTTAACCAGATTTTGACCATCAATATGTATATCATCGCAGTCTTCAGATAAACTGGTTGCATGGTGGCTGATACATCATCTCAGTCTTTTTGATGTTTATCCTGAGGCTAAATGCTGTGGCAGAATGTACAAATCAGCTTGATGATTTCTCGAGCTTCATCGTAACTGTGAGCAGTGAATGCTGTATCATCGGCGAACATTAGTTCCTGGACAAGAACTGGGGAGGTTTTCCTAATCAATATGAACCGACTGATATTGAACAAGTCGGCCCCTGAGAGGCTATGGATCCACACATACACACGGTGATTTGAATCTCTGAATGCGTGCTTGAGCACCATAGATAAATAGATGGAGAATAATGTAGGAGCTAATACACATCCTTGCTTCACGCCATTGTTGACACTAAATTCGTCTGAGAGATCACCTTTGACACGTACAGATGCCTTCATGCCAGAGTGGAGAGCCGAAATAAGCTTGATGAATATTTCGGGGCAACCCACTCTCTCTAGAACTTTCTACAGTGCTGTTCTGTTCATCATGTCAAAAGCCTTGGCGAAATCGACAAAAATCACGTACAATGGCATATTCTGCTCAATACATTTCTCCTGGATCTGCTTGAGGGAGAATACAATTTCCACTGTCCCGCGTCCTCCACGGAATCCACACTGAGTTTCAGGGAGAAAACTTTCAGCATATTTGGTCAACATGTTCAGCAGGACGCGTGCAAACACTTTTCCTGGTATGGAGAGGAGTGAAATACCTCTATAGTTACCGCTCATCCGTTTACCGCCTTTCTTAGATAACGTCAGCAACTGTGCATCCTTCCAGTCCTGTGGAACAACTGTGCCATTTCATGATTCTTTGATGGTGTTGCACAGCACTTCTTTTACTTTAGGACCTCCCTTCTTGATGACTTCAGCTGGAATGCCACCCGCACCAGGAGCTTTCCCATTGCTTTGCATGTTGATAGCTTGAACAATCTCATCAGAATCTGGACATTCGGAAATCCGGTCTAGGTTTGAAGATTGGTCAACCATCTCGATGATGTTGGGGTCTCGACATTAAATAGTGGAGATCTTTTATCTCACACAGCAATGATTCATTGTCCGCTGCCAGCAGTTGTTTGGGGATGTTGACCCGTGGGCCGCAGGCCATACTAGGGTGGAACCTTTCAGATCACTTCAGTCAGCATACTCTTGGAGTTTAGCTGCTTTGGCAGACCACCATTCGTTCTTAAGTTCACGGCAACGCTTTTGCAGTAAGTTGTTACATTGGTGATGTTTGGATTTGGTTTATCTGGTGTTCCTGTGGGGCATATGTTTGATCTTGGTTCATTTATTGTTGTTTATTAAGGCTACTAGCTCATTGTTGTTTGTGTTAAACCAATCTTCATGTTTCTTGACCACAATGCCCAACTTTTCCTTCGATGTTTCAGAGACTGCATCTCTGAAATTCTCCCATTGCTCCAAGGCAGAGTCAGAGGTGGACAGGGTTAGCTTGCTGTTTAGCATCTTCTAAAACTCTATCCTGGTTGTGTGTGATTTAATCTCGCTTGTGTTGAACTTTCTAGTCTGTTGTTTACCTTTTTCTGTTCATCCTCCTAATCATAAGTCTTGTAAATGATCTTATCATGATATGATCTGCGTTACAATTTGCCAGTGTCATAGAAGTCAGAGAGATCACGTTGCCTTGTGATGATGAAATCAATCAGGTGCCAATGGCCAGACCGAGGGTGCATCCAAGAGTTATTGTGGGCTGGTTTGTGCCGAAAGCAGGCGTTAGTTGTCACTAATTGATGTTCTGCACAAAGAGATAAGAGCAGCTCTCCATTGGAGTTCGTCTTCCAAATTCCGAATTTGCCAATGACTGAGGGCCAAGTATATAGCGTGGTCACAGCCAACCCGGGCATTAAAATCACCTAGTACACGTATAATGATTTTATCAGAGTTTGCTGTTTTCCTCAGAGTGTAATTTAGCTGCTCATAGAAGCTGTTGATATTTTCCATGCTGTTAGCAATTGTTGGCAGAAATACACGCTGTTTACCGTACAATACCGATTGTTATTTAGGGGCAACCGCAAAGTGACGATTCTGTCGCTAAGCGCTTTGGGGTCCTCGTTCAGATTTGTAACAAACTAATTTCTGATGGCCAGAGCTACACCATATTCACTGCGCTTACTGGATGGTTTTCCACTCCAGTAGATGGTATACCCTGAGTCTTTCTTGATGTTGCCAGTTTTGGGAAATCTTACTTCGCCAAAGGATGCTATGTCTATCATGTATATAATTGCGCTCCTGATCCTCTGTTCTGTTTGTGTTCTGTCTGTCTAGCATAATTCTAACGTTCCAAGATGCAAAATTAAACTTTAAAGAGTGGACCTTTTTATCCTGGGCGACGTCCTGCTAGAATGAGTTTCTATTTCTTTAAGAGTTTATGGTTCATTTGATTAGCAAGCTATGTGTTTTCAAGGCTGCATTAAGTTTTGCCATTTGTTAAAGCAGCAGCCACCGATGTGTGAAGTATGAGCTGGCAAGGGTGACCCAAGACGAGTGCAAAATACACATTAATCGCATTGACCAGGAGGCGCGGCAGAGTGTGCCATGACAACCGCCCTCACAGGAAGTCACAGGCCGGCTTTTCTATCTGGGTTACTTCTCATAGGTGTCTGTACCATTAGCCTGGGTAAATCCATTTTCACCACCTGCTCCTAAGGCATACTATTTAACCCAAAGCTGGGGCAGTGGTTGACATGGTGCCAGCGCGTGTCCACACACTGGTGGGCCTACTCACCATGTCTCTGGGGACCACTGCAACTCCGAGATCCCTTACAGATTCAACCAGGGGTAGCAAGATGCCCAATTACCGTGTGTTGCCGCGAGGAGACACTGTAAGAGTCTTGATGGTGGAGAGCTGGGTTGTGTACTGGCAGGGGAGACTTACGCACTCGACTCCCTTTTCGCCGAGGCAAGCTAGCGGCAGTACTCTCTAAATTCCAAAGAGTGAAAATCTACTCTATTCGAGTGAAAATTCAATCCCTCCGATTGCAATTAAGGACCAGACGAATTGGAGTGTAATTTCTTCACTCCAGAAGACAGAAATTTTACTCGAGCTTCCACTGGAGGGGCCTATTTTCAGCCTTTTTCAGTCTAAATTCAGAGTGGTTTTCACTCTAAAACGTCTTGTCCTTATTTTCAATCTTTCCGATTTAGAGAGTAGCAGAAGCTAGGAAGTGGGGTGTGCAATACCAACTACAACAACACCACCGCGCTAGGCTCGACGCATCACACAAACCATGCGGAAGACCACCAACACCTAATGCAACAAAATACAAATCATAAACTCTATCGTATTAAGCCAAATAGTCAAGAAAGCAAAACAAAGTGCTTATGACATGCCACTTTCTTGTTAAATCAAACTAAATTAAAATCAACTCATGTTAATACAAAGTAGCGGCATCGAACCAAACACAACAACTTTCTGTCTGTGCAAGTTTCTCAAGCATGGGTGAGGGTCTCAGTACGGACTGTCCTCTCTGGCAAAGTCTGGGACTTGTGCATGATAGTGGCCAATGAGATTTCATTGAAGGAATGAAGCAAGAGGTAGGTTTCCACCAATGGGAAATGGTCATCTAAGGATAAGACTACAAATCTCTGATCCACTGGATCACAAAAGTAACCTCTCAATATACATGTAGTGTCGCTTTTAAGGCCATTTCACAAATATCAAATTGGAACATTACCAGATAGAAAAAGATGAAGAGCTCAACGTTCAGTTCCAAGCATTTACCAAGAAAGCTATACTGATGTGAAACGTACGGTGATTCGGGGAAGAGAATACTTAGGCTTCAGGCTGACATCGAGGGAAGAACGGTCAATTCGTGGAGAGTGTCGCTAAAACTATATACTACAATACTTGTAGGCTCTCAGCCTGTCGGTTGGGTAGGTAACAACCCAACCACACTTAACAAATCGAACAATCTTGGACACCTCTCCACCAAACGCCAATAGCAATCTAACATGCTCAACACTTCCGATCAGCTATTTACGTCCCCGAAAACAAAAACGCGCTTTCACCTGGAAACTAAAACTTCGAACGTAGGTGTGACAAAACAAATTAACATAAGAAGAGACAGCGAATTACCATGACCATTGTGTGCGAGGGGCGTCTTCCTACCTCACGCTTAAACAAGGAAACAAACAAAACTTGTAACGTAAATAAAATGAAGCGTGATAAATCACGTCAGCTCTGGGTGGGTATCGAAAAAGAGCACAAAATAAAAGTAGATGAAATACAAAAACACGGCTAAAAGATATCTTAAGCGTAAAAAAAAGAAATAAAATCATGTGACAGAGTGGCACAAACGAAAAATCGAAAAATCAACATAAAATGGTGTAATTGCATAGTGTGTTCTATGTTCACCGTCTGTGGCATCCAGGGTGTGCTAGAAGCTGGCATGGTACACAAATACATATCGTGTACTAAATCCTTCACGCCAAATGGATTTATGGAATTTTTCGGCTTTTAGTGACTATCGAAGGAAATGAAACAAAGTGCCGAAAATCTTCCTCCGTGCATAGGGGCGGGGATGGATGCATACAAGCATACAAAAAGACACTTAAAATAAAATACTGTCACGAGGCAGTAGGACACTAAAACGTGACGGTACTCGTCACATAGGATATGCGCTGAGCAAGCGGCCACGACTTGTGCTCACCAGATAGCTCTCGGATCGTATGCAGTATATGCTTTAAAGATTTCGATCAGCAGAAGGCGTAGAATCCAGATTTTAGTGAACGATTTTTGTGCTGTGCTTCAATTTTCAACACAAATGTTAATTTTATTCTCATGACTCATGTTTTCCCCTCGCATAATAACAGTTGCTCGTTCATCCTCAATGTCAGCGCCCTCTTGTGAAAGAATTGGGTATTGCTGTCTCACCTGGTTTCGAAACACTTGTCAGTGTTCAATTAAAACAGGTGAGCCTATGTTTTTTGTGTTTCTATTCATTCAGTTTGTTCTACTGTGGTCAATTTTCATCATTTCGTTTTTGTTTACGGCCTTTTTACTGAATTGGTTTAATAAGCCGCAGTTTTGGAAAATGGGAAAAATGGGCAAATGTGTCGCAACCAAGGTCACTCTGCACCTCACATAATAAATTTGATCTTTGTTGTGGTGTCATTTAAACAATTAAAGGGAGTTCGTTGGACGATTTGGAAGATCTCTTATATTTTGTAGCATTTTAGATTTCTGTAGCATTTACGTTTTAACTTATTTTCAGTATTTCAAACCATACCGGTTATTTCTTTTCCCACCCGAAAATTAAAGGAATTTTCTAATTGTTTACTTTAAGGTGGTGAACTTGAAGTACCCCTACGAATCGAACTGTACTGACCGAGGCAATGTGAAGTATTCCGCGGAGTACACGGTGCCGCTGTGCCAGTACGAACATAAAATTGAGACCGTCAAAGCCAAATGTGGTTGTAAAGACATGAGATATCCCGGTTGGTTTGTAACCTTTTTTCCTTCTGCATCTACGAGTAGTGGTAGTTCAAAATGAAAACAAACGCAAGCCTCATTTGTTTTTAAGTCCAGACTCTTTGAGACAATCACAAGACCCCGCAAGATCACCACAACTCAGAATTCCGGCCATTGGCTATTCAAAGTGTGAACGTTAATAAAGTACTTCTATGTCACTTGCTCACCCTGTAATATTGTGACTGGTCTTCTGTCATATAATTGTCAGATTTAAGGTGAAATCTTTGAATTGGCGCGTTTAAAGGGTCAGTCCCATTCACAAAATTTGTTTGCACTTTTCTTAAACATACATAACTGCTTTGTTTATGCTTCCAGGAAGTGAAAACGAATGTCCTCTATCAAAGTACAGCAACTGCTTACTACCAGCAGAGGGTAAACTGTTCACTTTCAACTACCCTTGTCCAATCGCAGTTTTCTGCTTTGTTGTCTTGAAGAATTTGCCTGGATCTAAACTTCGGGTGTTCGTAACCTTTGCTATAATTTAGTTCTCTCCAGTATGTGAACAAATTTGAGTGACTCGATCTGTCTTGGTTCATTTAGCTCTTCATTACATATGGTCACCATTTGAATAAGTATTCACTGTCACCGTTAGCTTGTAGGCCTATACGCAAGAGGTCACACGACAATCTGTTAAAGCTATGAAGAATATATTTGGATTTTCAACTTACCTAACTTGGGCGTGTGATGTAATTGGCAAACCAAATGCCATTGATAGGCCTACTGAGCTAACATTTACTCCTTTATGTTCCAGCCAATTTCACATCTGAAGACAAGTCATTCAACTGTCCTGTTCCTTGCGACCTCACGATATATGATACTCGTATGTCATTCGCCTACTACCCGGGTCAACATCACTTAGAAGAAATCATGCAACAGAACAACCTCAGCGAAAATTCCATCAGGTATGAAAAAGCAACATGGTTCCCTGGCGTATACTTTCAGGCCTTATTTGCAGACTAAGATAGATGGACACCATCGATCCTTTCTCATACCGCAGTTAACGTTACAGTCAAACTATATTGTGTACATTTAAAGTCTTTTACTCTAACTACCTCTAACTTACTCTAGTCTTTCACTAACGAAATTGGGACGTTAGTGGGCAGGCTTTCAAATGCTCAGGTTCTGCTGTTTAGTTTGTCCTCTCCTCAGGATGGAAGAATACGATGTTCTTGTAACAGACTGTAAACATTGTGAGATATTGAAAATCGGTAGGCCAACAAGTTGGCAATCGTGAAAAAAACCCCGGGAATTTCAAAACATTTTCTGTAATTCCATCCAATTCTGCGTGACTGTAAACGATTAGATATCTTTAACCACAATTGCCAAACGATATTTAGAAGCGTGCAGTCAAGAACCTCTTCTGGTGTTCAGTGGAGCACCATTCATTGATTGAGTGCAAGCCTTTTTTGAGATTATGTTTGGAAATGTACCCTGTGATCAATTACACACACCATCAAGACCACGGTATCGTTTAAAGGCTGTATTTATCTACCCAAAATTATTTAATTGTGTCCATGTGTGTGTGAGTGTGGACGTGGGGGGGGGGTTTACAGACTATGTACTTCCATTTGGTACGCCCTGTTGAATTGTATTTTCCCATTTTTTCATGCGACCAACAAATTAAATGCGACCCTGGACTTTTAGGTAAGACTTTCCAAATTGTGCGACAAACGTATGTTATTCGTGGCGCATCGGAAACGGTTAAACCTGTCTTGATCACAATACGTGAAGTGGCCACCACGATCCTCAAACCTTGCACCACTAGCTTTTTCCTTGTACCGTGAGGCCATCTTTTAAAAAGAGGGTTTTCAACTCCACAGGAGGAACGTCTGGGACCTTCAGCCACGCATAATCGATAATCAAGGAATGGTCAAGTGTGCAGTGTAGCCTATGTCATGTTGTCGAGGGTGGATACCTGTATCAATAAAAAGAGTGGCCATATCACAGATAAAGTTGTAATCATAGTTCTCTAGGCCTTTGGAATTACAACTTCTATAGTTACATTCTGTTTAATGCACATTGATCCACCAATGCGTGTTGCTGTATTACCCTTTTGTATGAATAATCATCAAATACATTTTACGAGTACCATGATAATGCTGCGTCTAGTCGCAAAGGATCACCCAATTTATGTTCCTGATGAAGGAGAGGGTTTTCGCCTAGTGCCAGCCTAATTATTACAAATCCTCTAATTTCTTAAACTCTTTTAAAGGACAAACCATGAATTTGGTACCTGCAATCCCCCGCGATTTAAAAATTTTGTGGCGTTAAAATCGTATTTTATTGTTGTTTCTTTTGTAACTATGTCATAGGAAGAATGTGCTTGATCTGCGAATCTTCTTTGAAGAACTCAGCTTCCAGAAAATCGAAGAAATCCCTTCCTACACTTTTTACAGTTTACAAAGTGAGTGAGCAACATAACTGTCTCGCTGTCTTTTCTAACCGCAATACTTGACTTTAACTCTTCCGAACTCGGAAGTATAAAAACTTGTGATCAACCTTCCTGGTCATGTACGTACAGAGCCAACATATGGGGTCTCCCTCGTCTGGTAACTTACAGGTAGCATTGGCGGTTACATGGGTCTCCTCATAGGCGCCAGTCTAATCACATTGTTTGAGTTTCTGGACTTCATCCTGGTTACCACGACATCGTGTTTGCTGAAGCATTCGGTGCTCGCCAGGCCCAGGGGGAATCGCGTAAGAGGTGCAGCCAGGCAGCGAGACAGGTCTTCGCACGGAGAGGCAAAGCCTTGCTTCATTAAGAAATAAAGCGTCATGTTAATACATAGCGCCGTTCTGAGATATTAGGTTCAGAGATGACCCATAAAATTTACTATAGCTGTACGACTTCCCTTTTAACTCAGGCGAAATAACACCTTTTCTGCAATTTGCACAATAGATTAATCATGGAATCAGATATTGATGACAAAAATTGTAGTATTGCAGATATCTCGTGTGTTTGGCGGACTTCACGTGCAGATTTTGTTGACGTTACAAAAAACAGAAGCTTTTCTGAACAATTAAATGGTATTACAATTACTATATCATTAATTCTAATCTCAACGAATTAATTTTACAAAATCAATTAATTTTCCCCATTATTCTGTTTACTAGGCTTTTCCTTCCTGAAACGACACATGTGGAATTGTATTTTAGTGTAGACCTACCACAGAATTCCACAACAGAGATATAGTCCCAATTGCACAATGGCAATGCAGCATGGCGATGATCAGTACCAGCAACAAAGAATAGTTCTTATTAGTATTCCCAATTCAATAGATTACAGTTTCTCCATGGTAAATAAATTGCTTCTAAACAATGTGATGCCATCCGTGTAACAGGTGTTTTGTCCATGGCCACGAGTGACGACACGACACACAAAAAGGGAGTGTGTGTAGCAGGAGGACATGCTGTGAGGTGAATTACAGATGTGGCTTTTGCAATGCCCGAGTAAATTCTTCAGACATTTTTTTTGCAGAATTAGTGCTGTGCAATTTGGAGACTGGATTGCTCAGAATGCTGCAGGCTACAGAGATCAAGGTTGTTGCCATTTTTACTCTTCTGGGTTCTGCCTTACTATTTGGACTAGTGCCGGTATGCTTGTTCTCCAAATCGTCGATGATGGACCCCAAGCACAAGGCACGACTCGGGCGCGTGGTGGGCTGGATCAACGCTTTCGCAGGAGGCGTCTTCATGGGAATAGCGCTCATCCATCTCCTTCCGGAGGCCCGACAGCTCTTGATGGATGCTTTCCAGATGCAAGGCACGATGTACCACTTTAATTGGGCCGAGCTGATTGCGGCCTGTGGGTTCTTCCTTATCGTCTTTGTGGAGCAGATAATTTATCTTTGTCAAGAGAGACTCAGAAACGACGAAGCATCAGAGGAGGTTGCCTTTTCCGACAAGGACACCAGTAAGACTTACACCGCTGAAACATCGTCCAAACCTGACACAGACGTCAAGTCTCTCATGCCGGACGCTGGCACTGACGACACTGGGGGTAAAACCGTGTTATCGCCGGCTAACACCACCGAGGAAGGCCCGCTGAATCTTCCCATGCGGCTCACCTCACTCCGGGCAGTCATTCTCCTCATATCCCTCTCCTTCCACTCTATATTCGAAGGCCTTGCCATCGGGCTACAACTCACTCGCAAAGATGTCATTGATATCTTCATTGCTATCGCTCTACACAAGGGCATAGAGGCATTCACCGTCTCGATCAGCTTTGCTCAGGCATACTTGAGCCAGACCGCGAAGATCGTTTATTGCGTTGTCTTTTCCTTTATGTCACCGCTGGGCGTAGCCATTGGAATACCCATAGCCATGTCTACCCGTGAACAGAAGGCAGCCGTGTCTGGGTCCAGCCTCATGCTCAATGCCGTCCTACAGGCCTTAGCAACCGGTACATTCATGTTCGTCACATTCATCGAAATTTTACCCAGTGAGCTCAACTCTAAGAAGGACGGCTTACTTAAGGTTGCTTTCATTATCTTTGGTTTCGCAGCGATCTCGGCACTCAATGCGTTAGAGCATGACATGTAGACATGCATATTCTACGGTGAAATTAACTGTACGCACTTCCATGCAGGAACATTCCTGATTTTAACCATTCTGACCACGTCATGCCATTTAAAAATTGAATATGAAACATATATCATAAATGTTCATTTTCGCTTCAAATGCAAGAGTTGCGAAGCATTTCACTTAAGTAAATAATCATTCCGTGTAAAAAAAAACAAACTCAAAGAACAGTTATCAAAGAAACAGAATTTTTAACGAACTTATTCAAGAAACAAGGTATTTCTGGTGTTGAATTTAATTCATTCCCTTTTTCTTGCTTTTATCCCCTAGTGAACAATGGTTCGACACACATTACTTGGTAGTGGAGAGAGACAGTAATTCAGCTAAGCTTGTACAGCTTATACTACATACTTAATTTAGTTTTAACAATTTTTCGAAAAAAATCGTTGTAATGACTTGCATACAAAAGCCAACTATTTCACATACGCATTTCACATTCCAAGCTCTTCTGCTATTAACATAAAACCAATTAAAATCGCGCAGTCATTATAAACAAAGCAGTGAACCAAATGAGTTTGTTTCTGACTAGTAATACATGTAATATGCTGGTAGCAGAACTGAACAAGACCAAAGACTGTACAGGTCAGCTGTTTTTAGTCCTTTTGCATGTATTGTAACATATTGTAAAATTGATCAAGTTTTTTTAACACAGCAACACGACGCCCATTTAACTGATCAAGGGCACAATTATTGCATACAAAAGCTTCCTCTGGAACCAGGAAATTCTGTGTAGTACAAAAGTTTTATTTTCCAAGTACATGTATAGAGGCCACTTTCAAGGAGCATCATGGGCTGAAAAAGAGCAAAACGACTAGAACACAGACAATGGTTTCACATGCCCACTGGATATATGACAAATACTCATTCTAAATATTACGAGTAATAAATCTATTTATTATTACGAGTAATGTATTTAGTATCAACCACAGTATACTGTCATTCAAAGTCTGGGGTGCCAAGGTGTATCAAAATATCAAGGCTTATTGTATGCTGCATTAACTTGGAATTTCTGCAGTGTTGCAGAGTGTATCTGTGACTTTACAATGTGCATAGAATTCGCCAATTGCTTTTTTAACTTTACACCTTCTCCTGTTGAAAAAAATCACATCTTTCAGGACAAGGAAGGAATCAATCCGACTTGTACTACAAAATGAAATTCTGAAATCTTGCGAAAAACCATATACATGTAACACTTTTCGTTTCCTCTTCATCTAAAACTTCGCTACAAAACAAATCACTGATGAAAGACAGTTTGATGAGGTGTCTCCTATTCCTATGCATTGATTGTATTGAGTACCATGAGGTCCATACCAATCCATTACCAAGGTTGTCTGCCAAAAATTCAATAATATTGATTACCATTGATGCACCCGTTTAAAACCCGTACAAATATATCACCTTTGACCTAATCAATAAAAAGCAATCCATTTTTAATAAAATAAAAAGAGGTCAATTTGCATCCAGCCTTCAACTTGGGCTGCATGATTCTATCAACTCTGCATGAAACCAAAAACATACCGAGACTAAAACTGAATAGGCATGAAATCAAGACTAAGGCAAAGGACTGGATGTACTAAGCTGATTAGGCACTGAACGAAAAAACAAACAACAAACAAGCGGACAGACCTATATCACAGGAATCTCAGCAAAAGTATACAATACACGGTGACTAGGCATTTTTCCTACTGGCGTAGTTATAAGTAATTGGTAGAAACGTGTTTGTGGAAGTATACCGTCACGCACTTCAAAGGCATTACTTCAAACGCTTGCCTCCAATGCCAAGGTACAGAAGTATTTCATAACACAATAATGTGCAAGGAAAAGAAGGTTTCTCGGAAACTAACAATTCGCAGGGTTTTTGACGAACGTGTCATTTTATAAAGACGGTGTAGCAGCTTAGAAAGCTTTACAAAGATAAATGGCGAGTGAATTAATGTCTATGCTGTAGATACGAAGTTGAAACCACTGGATTAACAAAATAACACCTGGAAGTTCTTACAGCCGCGGTTTTTTGACAGACTAACGGAACATGTTGCAAATCAACAACTATAAAACCAAAACACATGTACAGTGTCTACGCATGCAAAAAAACATACAAGGAAATGCCGTCACTATATTCCTTCAGCTGGACCTCATTCTCAAGGACGCCATTTTTGATCATGTTCCCTGAATCCATCTTATTCAACATAAACTGTTCCATAAACTGGGTTCCATGCCTCACTTTCATTTAGTTTTCAAATGTTACTTGAAACATTTAGATATGACAAATTACAAATTTCAAATTACTTATCACTGCGAATGAAATCAATCTGTTATAAGCTTTTATTTCATAGCTTTCATTTTTATTGTTACATTGCCAAAATAAAAAGGTAACTTTGCTTTCAATTCAATACGGCTGACTTGTGAATAAGGTCAATTTACCTCGATTTCGAAGGTTTTTCTGACACCGTTTGGAAAGAAAATTACCATTTCCATTCAAATACGAAGTGGGTCAATGTAAATAGCTGAAAAACTTTCGACAAAATGGGAGTAAAACTGTTGCTATATTCTAAGCTCGTTCTTCTGCCCTTAGAGCAATGTAAACAAATCATAATAAACAGTATTACCCAAATATTTCTGATACAGTAGGTAGACTATAATTTACGTCAGCAATGAAAGTATAGTGTAATACACTTATATGAGATTGAACACACAGGGGCGTGTGGGCCACACCCAAAAAGAAAATTAGGCATTAAATTAATTCATTTAAAACATCTTTTTAAAGAACCTCAGTTTCAAAATTGAAGTGAGATTCCCTGAAGGCATTTTAACTTTAAAGGGAAGAACTTCCAACGTAGACAGAATAGTTCTGCTTCTCTTGGAAACCTTAAAAGTCATTAATTCATGTTAACATCAGTTCACAGTGAAGTCCCTCGGACGAAAATGCCTAGCTCCTTGAAATGCACATCCCCTATTTCTCACACAATAAATTTGCATTGACAAGGCTCCGTTGCGGAACACAGCACAACTAGGTTCTACAAGAGAACTCAAAACTATCATACTGGCATTAACCCTAACAGTCTGCAATCCTTCACATACTGGAGGAGTGAGGACTGTTAGGTTAATCAGGCTGACTTCTCCTCTTAGTCAAGAAATAAGGATGTCCAAGGTTTTAAAACTTACAAGGGAAAATATAAATATGCATGCATATTACCGATGGGTTCCTCAAGACATCAGTTTGAAGTTAAAATATCTACAACACTAGAATTCTGCAAACCCTTAGAAAAGATAAACATTTATTTATACAGCATTAATTAACACCTTGAACCCATGAAGAATAATTCATGCCACGCTGCCAATAAAAACGATTCCATATCATATTTTAAAGATGAACCATTTTCAAAAGAAAGACACCAACAGCACCGAGTTTACCGAAATAAACCCAATGGTTGGATGAGATGTCTAAGCTATGTGGAATTCACAGATTTCAGGAGACTATACTGTTCTGATGCTGTATGTACAAAAACCAGAATCACTAGATTATAAATTCATGATGTCTGCTATTTGAACTACTTGTAAAAAAAAGAGTTGGACGAATCACAAAATTCAATTAATCACGTGAACAATGTGATAGTAAATCCATACCACTGAAATGAAACACAGTGTCTTCTCTGTACAAGTATTCATCAACAAGCTATGGAAATAGAACTCAATGTTTTCGACTGTAATTGATAATGATCACTTTTGACAACACAAGGCACCTGGGATACTATATACAATTTTTGAACAAATTGTGAGTTGACACTGTAATTTTCGGGCAATCAACAATTCTGTTAATTTTCAATACATATACAGGTTAGTCTCAGCCATCCAAACCTCTTATGGTGGAAACGCTGAAAACTAAGGGTAAAACAAACCTAACTGGGCTGACAAAACCAATTTTGAGAGTCGAGTTGAGATATAATCGGTGCTGGCATGCGACCCGGCTTGTTAGCCAATCAGAGTGAGATTTTCTGACTCAGTATTCACTAAGAGTACAGTGCTTCAAAATGAGCTGAAATTCCCCCCCCCCCCCGACTTCTGTGCTGGGTTGGTTCTATCACGGACCATGGGTAAATGCATCTGGTTGTGGCAGGAAATGGGGTTCATGGGGCGTTAAAGGATTAGTAACACCCCTGTGGCAATTTCCTTATGCCAAGAATGAGGCCTCTGTGACAAGCTAACCCATCTTCTTCTATATAAAATATAGGACTATAAGCAAGCTAAAATTGATGGTTCTTGAACAAACAAAAAGAGCTATTGACAAAGTTGACCTCGACAAGAGTATAGTTGCATGTATTCTGACCTGCTACACATTAACTGTCCCATGAGATCAATCCTTGATGAAATCATTACTTAGGACTTAATTGGAGGTATTGCAATTTTGTTTGGTAAATGCCCTAGATGAAAGTCGAATATCCTGAAAGAACTACTCAAAATAGATTTGCATTAATGCAGTCTAGTCTGTGTTACCGCTCATGCCATCAGTAAAATGGCAAGGATCTCACCAAGTGCCTGCAGATAATTAATTGTGGGATGATGTAATCAGCTGTGACATAACATTCAGTGCATGTCACTATTGATAAGAATGACCCTAAGGCCCGTAACTCTCAGACCCAACACAAGTTGCCAAATTCTTTCCTTTGGGGAAATGAAAGCACAAGCATTTTAGAAATGGCACTGCATGTGCTATCTTTCTTTTTGAGGATTCTTGTGCACATGTACAAGATTTTGGACAGCTGTTTTGGTAGAAAAATGCCACAATGCAACCTGCACCAGAGGTCTGGATTTTCCACAGGTGCAACCTCTCATCAAAAAGCTGGGTATTATTTTGTTCACAGCACAAAATAAATACGATTTCCTCGGTTTCCAACCAATCTGTCAAAATGCTCAAAGGAACTTTTACCTTTGTAAAATGCAGAATGGCAAATAATTTGACCTGGAAGCATTTTATCTCATTACCACTTCTGTGGCAATTCAACAGTAAACAAGTACTCCATGGATACACCACACATGAAGTCAAAAAGATTTATAGGACAATAAACTAATATTACAATATTTACATGCGTGTGATTGCATATTGAAAGGGGCACTCATGCACCGGCAACCTTCTGAGGTTTAATTTGATCTGCTCTTTCAACTTTCATCCACGGAGTTGGTTCGAGATTTTCTCCAGAAGCTCATCTTGCTGGTGATGTTGCTCAATTCCCTTGGAAGGTTGCGTGAGTAACGGGTAAATGAACTCTCGTGTTCCTATCAATAAGAGGCAAAAAGTTGCTTAATGTGAGGAGACTGACTGAAGCAGTGCATAAAAAGATTTTTTTTAAAAATGGACAGAAATGCACTCCTTTGTTTCTTGAGTTTTGTAATGGCATTTGAAGCTATCTGTTACATAACATTTGGTAACTTCAAACAGTCATTAACAACAAAAAAAAAACACGGATAAAACCACTCTCTAAAATAACTGTGTATTTGCTAGGGAAAACCTGAACAACCGCAGCAAGTAGAACACCTTTTATTACAGTTACAAACGGAGGTGGAAATAGGAAATAATATAGGACATTTCTGATTTACTTACAAAATAACCCTCAGAAAGTTTCTGAAAATCCCTCAAATATAGGGATCCATCAGTTCCTAACAAATGCAATGAAGAATGTTGCCACAAGCTCCCCATGAAGCACATGCAGTATTTAGTAATCTAAATGGCTTCTTAAAAATTCCATCCAAGAAAGAATTAATGACAGGCAGAAAGGAATGCTCTCTAGAATCCATGCCATACAGAGACCATGCAAAAAAGTGCAACATAACCAATGCAAAACAGGGTGATGTCATGCAGCTATTGCATGATGTGCTACATAATTCAAGTATTTTACCATGTAAACATTTCCATTTAAATGGAAGTACTACAGGTAGTATACAGAGTATTTCAAACATGAAATAATACCAAAATGCAAACAATTACCTAAAAACACTTCAAGCCAGCCTTATTACAGTAAACGAACAGGTTTTCACAGGATACTTACAGACTTGAAAGACAGAGCATGAGGCGAGTATGTCAATGATGAGGGGTCAACGACCTGTAATATTGAGGAGTGTGAAAGGAAGGGGTAGGGGCAGGGAAAAATGCAAGACACATTTATGGGTTCTGTGATTTGGGTCAAATCACTGGGAATCATTGAAGACGGTCTGGTTTTAGGCATTCCCATGATAGGCTATTCAAAGGATCTGGCATAAAACAAAGATATCAAACATTTGTAACATGTATGCAGACTTTTGACAGCTCCTATTTCTGGAAAAGCTGTGAAAGAATAATCAAAAGAGTAGATTTTTGACGAGGTTATGATGTGTAGGGATTTTTTTAAAAGCAAACCTATCTGCTAGGGGCATACATCCTGGGGGGATGTGGGTATCCGTCATGAGCAGGAGCACCCCCCGTCAATTAAAAAAAAAACCATGTTGGTCAGGAGTGCTCATTTTGTGGGTAGCGATGCGACTGAAACACTTGCATTTCATAGTCGTTCGTGAACCAGCAATGCCCAGTTACTTCCAAAGGAATCTCTGTAGAAAGGAAATTTGCACCCCTCTCTTGGTCCAGCTCGGATCCCATATATTCCCCACTTTTAGACCAGGGGGATGGGCTACTCAATCCTCCCCCTCCCACATTTTCACAAAAATAATCGAGGTGGAGTTTGACGAATGTTAGGACTTCCAAACAATCCAAATGTATTCATCAGCACTGAATAAGGGAGAAAAATGAAAAAAAAAAGCCAAGTGTACGCTGTTTTGATGTGCATGTAAGGTTCAGGGGTGTAATGATATCATTAAAGATGTACATCCACATCATGAACAGTGTTCCCTAGTGCCATATGGTGTTTTAATGACATTAATGACTATGGAGCATTTCTGAATTATATTAGCAACAGTCAGAGTTGACATCAATTTCAATATAGTGGAGTAGCAACTGCCAAAATAGCCATTTCAACCATGACCGAAGCAAACCAGTTTTCCCTAGTATAGTAGATTCTGCCAAAAAAAATACACATATTGTGTCAAAATCACATATGTTGAGGTGATTCCAGCTATCCCACAATGTAACCATTAAGTGATATACTTGGAAAATGTGCAACACTCAGTGAATCTATGACTGAAGAAGAACCACACAAGCTTGAAGAACTCAATCTATAAGACTTTTTCGCTGATTTGGACACTGAAATAATTATCCAAGGGTCTTGAACCACATTGTTGGCTTTCCTCTGATACAGAATAAGAAGAGCTGTTGCTCCATTCGACTTAGAAACCGTTGAAAAAGGGAATAAGAGGTGAAAATACTGTGTTCTCATCTGAGGGTTTCACATGGATAGGTGTTTCAGACTTGATAACAAAAAATTTAAAAAACAGGCTTTCCAAAAGTAAGTACTGTACATGTATCCAACTGTCAACATATTAAAAAATAATAATATAAGGGTTTTAATAAAGAGACTAGATTCAATCACCCTAGAACGCTTTAATTGTGGTAACTTAAAGTAACTGAACCAATACCATATGCAAGCGTGGGTTGGAGCATTCATCTTTGCACAAGAAATTCTGCATGACTTTATGCCAATGAGACATATGGCTGAATACGAGAAATGCTTTGTTTGAGGACCATTGCCACTGCTGGTCTAAAAAAATGGCATTGCCAGTCGAAAATAGCTGAAACTGTCAAGCAAATAAAACAGCTTGACCCAGCTGGCATCAAAACCGGGATGTTTTAAGTGGAGGGCAAAGGAACCAATGACCACTGCTTCACGGTGCGTAAGCTTTGTGTATAGTAACAATTTTTGTCAGACAAGAAAAATAAAGGGAGCAAGAGTACGTACAGCATTCGCAGACTCACTGTTGCCAGCCTCTCCCTAGAGTCATCAGAGCGCAAGGAGGAGATGGTGCAGAGAAAAACGAAGATAAAAGAAGGAAGGAAGGAGGGACAATGTTAGAGAAAGTCATAGCAACTGGAAATGGTGGTGGGTGGCACAGAGCTGGGAGAGGGTGCTGATGATAGGCGGAGGAGACCAGGAGCGATGTGCCAAAACAGTGTGAGGGGAAAGTGATAGGGGTGGAATGAACCAAGGACCGTCTCTGCAAGATGCAGCTTCACATTTTTTAAAATTGGGGCAAGCCTTGTATCATACGATGTGCTTAAGAGCCATTGATGCAAAAGCCCAAAGGTTGTAAATTTTGTACTGGTTACATTAGCAAGGGATGTTAGTATTCCTGCGTGGTTATTTTTTTAACCTCCTTAATAAATGAAGTAACGCAAACAAATGAATCTTGAACTGTGTGGCTGTAGCGTATCGGCATTCGTCTGGTCTATACAAGGAGATCAGTGGGACGAATTCCTGAAAATAATGTTCATTATCATTTCATGTGCGTTCTCTACTCAAAATTTTACTATTTCTAAAGACAAGCTCGGCACTGTAGACAACCATGGCACAGCTGAAAAACTATTCAAGATTTCTACAGACAAAAAATCTTGGTCCATTATAGATCCCAATAGCAGTAATTATAGCAGACACCACAAATTTAGACAAGCGTAGTTAGGATACAGTGTTTCGGTCCCTGATTAAGCTCTGGATATGTCCTTTTAGTTAGCTGGCTCCACAACTTGCATCAAATGGCCAGAATCACAAATGAAGATCAACGTTATGCCTTTCCAAATAACAGAACCTTTGTTATGAAAGTGGCCTCAATATTCAATCTATTATGGGTTGTGGCCATACAATTTCAGCTAGCCTTTGATAAAGTTATTTTCTCCTTAATTATAACTCCTTTTCCATTTGCATTTGTGAGTTTCAAGGTTTTCTCTGCTGAGGAAGATGGAGTGTTAAAATCAGTGGATGTGGAATTTAAAGCAATCAGCTTGGCTTGCAATGTATGCTAACATGCAAAATGATATCTTAGGAATTTAGCATGCACAGCAACATTGTTAATGTGGAAACTAACTGCAGCATTGCCGACTGAAAATGTAGAATTATATGATTTTTTTATATCCAATAACCAAAACATAATTCTCTTCAATGATTTCAGATTTGTCAGATAGGTTTGCCCATTTCTCTTTCTACTAATATAAATCAAAATATAGAAATATTTGATAGTTTGAGCTGGAAAATGGAAAAATCTACATCTCTACTGCATTTTAGAAAACACCGACAGTGAATACAGAAGAAACAGCATTACTTATTCATAACCGGTTACATTATGATGGACATGGATAATTATGTGTAGATCAATAAGTCTTTCTATCCAGTCCGGCATAGTGTGCAGGATCCAATTCATAAAGTTATATAAAGTACTTCAAACGTACAGAGAAACAAAAAAACAAACAAAAACAAAAGACACAAAGCTAAACATACCTTGGATTTGAGCAAACCAGCCAACCAGAAGAGAAATGATGCTTCTTTTTCAAGGCACATGGCTCTGTTAAATGCAGGCCAAAAATATATTGTTTACTAATAGGTGGGGGGCCTTTCTCCAGGGGTGTGTATCAGCGTGCACCTAACAGTCACTACAAGCTGAACCCCTTATGAAATTTAATAAATCAAAGAAACCTTTCTTTGTGGCACACATACAATGTAGAAGATCTCTGCAATTCAATCCCTATTACAGCGATAATCTTTTAATAGTCCACAACATTTGTACACTGTCTGCAGAATTAAACAGAAGGTTATTACTTATTTCTAGCAAAATGTACACCTACAGAGGTGTGAATTCATTTAAAATATCTTCCTTTTTAGATCTTGCAACAAATTGAACGCAAGAATACACATAAGAGGAAACTAACTAGAAGGTTGAAAGATTTAATGGCTCGTGGTAACCGACAAACTTTGCACTCCCGAGTTGAAAAATTGCATGAGGCCAGAAAGCCAAATAGTTGACCTATCAGAGGAATTCCACAGCATTCACATGGTCTCAGCTCTGACTCCTTCTGCAATCAATCTCTTTTTCACTAAAGAACTAACATTGATTGATTGCTCTGAAATCACTGGGCTGTCACAAATACTTACCTCATGCCTTCCTCATTGTTCAGTGTGAAAGAAATGCCCCATCTGTTGATAAAAGAAACAAACCCCAAAGGGTTTTATTCTTGAACTAGGACTGGAAAAAACTGGTACTTTTACTGAATGACACAACAAATTTTTCAACTGATAGCTCTGTCATACTTCTACCATCAAGCACTTGACAGCTTAGAGCTCTACTTTGAAGAGATACTAGCTCAAGTGTGCTTGTCATATTTTCACACTTGGAACCAGGCATGTCAAGCTGCTTCTTTTCCTACATGAGGACAGCTGTGCTTTCACAACATAAACAGAAAATTTGCAGCATTTATTTTGAGATGCTCCCACGAGGCATGTAGTACAATCCTCACACCGACGTAAATGCCTTCACTTGCAGGTGTCCTAGGAGCACATTCTTAACATGCGTTGATTTTTTCGTTCATTCTTGTTCTCAAAGTTGTAACAAGCACACTTTGTTTCAAAAAAAAAAAGAAAAAAAAAAAGATTCTTGTTAATAAACACACTCTGTTGTCTGACTCTCTCCTTTTATCTACCTCGGTCAAACCAATTTTTTTTAGTATGGAATAATCCTTTAGAGAAAACGTTCTGGGTAGCACAATTATAGACTTAAGGCTCCGTTTGGGATGCAGTCTTACTGTGTTGGCGGTGACCTCTTCTTCTCCACTCCGACGTATATCTTCATGTCTGCAACCTTCCAACTATTGGCTGGAGTTGTGCTCTGATGTGGATAATGAAACCAAACCAAAGCTCATCACTCTGTGGCAATTTCATGACATTGGGCAGGAAAATATTGGTTCCACGAATGAATCTGTTGAAAACACTTCCAAAAGACTGCTCTTCAGATAAATCTTGCATTATCACAAGGACAGTACTTGTAAATAACAGCTCCTTACTGCGAGAAGATGATGTGGACTGCTTTACACCTTTACCTCTAAACCTACTTTTAAAAACATTGTGCATCTTTTTAAGAATTTTACAATTCTTTATGATTAAATTTACTTCACAAGATGAAATAAACTGAATGACCGTTTATTATAAGGAAAACTAACTGTGTACAAATGCCAATCGTGACGTGATACCAACAGGCAGAGAAAAACTAATAAAAAGACGACCCACAAGGCAGACTGATAGATTTCAAGACGTTCCAGCGACGACTTACCTTATCCTTGTAACATGTGATGACGTTATTCATCAGCTCAAATGAGTACTTCTTAAATGTTTTCTTACTTTCGCTGTACCTGACGATATCGGACAAGGTTGCCTGCTGCATGAACTGAAAAGAGATAACAAGTTGGAGTGCTGATCCACAGGTAACCCGTTCAAAAAAAATATCTATCCAATGACAGCTCATAAAGATTAGCTGTCATTTGTTGTTTTCACGGATAAGCTAGCTCCCTGCATCCATACCTATGTCATAGCTTTTAGATTTTGATGTTGGAAATGAGTCACCAGTTTCTTTAGCTTCTGTTGGTTACATCATACTTATCAGATCAAAATGAGGATGACACCAGCATCACCTCTACGACAAGTGATGCCATTTCAGTTGTTGGTAAGGTCACTGTTTTATTACCGGTTCTATCCGGTCCATCAGGTCATTGTGTTTGAGGCAAATGTAGTTGTCTGGCGCCATCTGTGCATTCCAAGCCAAAACTTGAGGAAGGACTCGCTCATAACCATGTATCAAACGCTCTGAAACCAAATGTAAGAAAACAAATCAAGTCAAAATCCCAAGAGTTTGCTGGTACATTACTGTTTTGGTCATTTATTTAATTTGTATGTTATTTTTTTAAACACATTTTCAGAGACATGATGTGATGTACAACCGCCCATCGGTATAATTCACACTGTGTACGGTATGGTCATTGTTTCGCTGACGACAAAGTTTTTCTCCAGTTCCACAGTTTGTGGACTATTTACCGAGTTCTCCTTTGGCGATGATCTCAAACAGTGCCCAGGTCCCATCATTTATCTCTTTCTGCTGATCCAGTGCCATTTTGATGATCTCTGCTGCCGTGTGATCCATGGAGATCTGCAGTAGGTAACAGTTCTGAGTGAGCTTGGCTCATCATATGTTTCAGTACAGCAACATTCTGGTTATCTCTACAGTCATTTGCAAAAGTTTAGGACCAAAAATACATAATGCATTAACCATAGGAAAAATCAAACTTAATTAATCATGGCAACTTATGTTATTTTCCATGCGTAATCTTAACCCTTGGTTGAACAAATGTTTGGCTTCATTTCACGATTTGAAATGTTTACCGTCTTATATTTTGTATGCCCTCCTCTGTTTGTGATGACTTTATAGACTGATTTTTTTATCCACGTTGCACTGCAGACAAAATGTCATACAAAACCGGCCTTCGCAAAAAAATTTCATTCAAATGGGCACATAGTACGACCCTTCTGTGGACTATACTAAACAACATGTTAAATGTTGGACCATGTAATGCTGGACCAGGAACACCAATATCAACACATTTCAAGGGGGTCTTAAATTTTGCAAAAGGCTGTACAGCAGTTCCTGGGAGATCAACAGTCATGGGGTCCATGGGAGCAGGTATTTATCACAGCAATGAAAAGTTGACTGAGTGTGGCCCACCTGACTTTAGAGTAAAAACGTGGGCTCTATACATGTACACGATGACATACTCCTTACTGTTCAAACAGTTGTGCTGAATTCATGAGTGGAATTGGAATAAGAAACTTCTGCCTTTCAACTCTTCATTCTTCCACTTTCTAGACTAACAGATTACATGTACATTCTCCCTATCAATTTCCTTTTTCAACATATTTGAAACCTTAAAAGGACCCTCATGTTCCCATGTGCACTCGGGGCAAATTCTGGTGAGAATAAGAAAACAAGATTCAAGTCTAGGATCCCAGAGTAATTGCCTCAATGACAACAGGAATTTGACTTGCCTTGATGTTGATACTGTTACCCAGATCTTTCTTGCCCAAGAAGATCTCCATCAATATCAACTGCTCTCCAATATTCTGGGGGGGTGGGAACACAACAGTCCGGTTAAAAATTGAGATAAACCTGTGAACACAAGCAGGTACATGTACTACTACAAAAGAGCTAGTTGTAGGCGGTTTTCAGGATAACGTCTTCATGAGTTTGAGTGGAACAGTGACGCAATGTAGTTCTTCCTTGCAATACAGAATTTCACATTGCTGTTGCTCCAGTACCAACCAATCAGCATGAAGGATTCAAATATACTTACATGTAGAAATAAATATGACATGGACAGCTAAAAGAAACACAGGCATAACACTACTATTACTACCCCTGACAACTGGGCCAGTAATTTAACCTGGATTTCTCTCATCATGGAGGGCATCAAAACAGACATCGTTCTGACTTTCATCCATTCCAAAATCTGACAGAGGTCCTGTATTGGCTTCAGAGGAAGTTTGCTGGCTGAGGGACACAGACTCTACTCTGCAGCCACACTCTTCCCACCACTGACCTCTGACGCCCGTGCCGCTTTGATCTTTGACAAGCCTTCTTGATACTTCAGTTCTTTCTCTCGCTCCTTGGCCATTTCCTCCTCTGACACCTGGTACAGCCAGTTGTAGTAGGTCAGGAGGTCTGCGATCACGGCTATCTCATACTCAGCGTGAATGTAGGAAGACTGCAGCAGGTCAAATAAGAATAGTTCCAACAGGAAATGTTTATGTCAATGTAGGGCTGAAAAGCTTGAAATCCAGGACAATTCTGAGAGATCACGCCTCTGCTCCATGTAATGGTTTCCTGAATTGAGTACATGGCGTTCTGAAAAGAACCTTAAGAACACGAAGAGAACACTATAAATGTGGATGAATGCTTAAGTTTCCTCATCGAGGTCAGATACTTACATCTGGAGAGGCCATTAGCGTTGGGCCAAAGATGGCAGCCAGGTTGCGGAAGTACATCTTATTGAAGTCACTGTGATCTGCCACGCTGCAAGGTGTTAAAAAGTATTGAGAATGTTTCAAACTTTGCATTGAGGGCAAAGTGAAATTCTTCTTGATAATAAATAACTTAAAACACCACTGTTGACTCACTCATGTCAATGAAAAGAAGAGTTGAAAAGTGAGCATTGTGGATGTAAATACAGGATGGACGTCCTTGTTAATACGTTTGACCTTGTGTGACATCACAGAGAAACAAGGCTACAGAAATGTGAGGGCGGATATTGCTACATGGATATGGCTGGGACGGATTCAGGAATGCTCAATTGTTGTGAGCCTGATTCACGAGAATAATGACAATACACTGGTGTATTTAATGACAATTACTCTCAGATACTACATGCCTTGCTATAGAGGATTTTCAGTCTCATGATTTTTGACGGTCAGCGTCCAATCTACACAGATATGCTCGGAAACGCGCACGTCTTCGAAGTCTCTAAACATTCTTGTGCGCATGAAATTGCCGATAGAAATACCTAGATTCAAAATAATGCATGTGCATCCATTCTGAAATGCCTTTGCCCGTCACGTTATTACTCCAAAGATTTAAGTGCATCGCTATATGTCAGCCCAGAGTGAGGCTGTTCCTAGCTAACAAAGCAATTCACACAGAAATCTAACCACCAAGACTAGTTTACTTTCCATCAAAACAATGTCAATCTCAGTGATAAAACGTCTTACTTCTTGAGATGTCCAATCAGCATCTTGAGAGTGTGGTAGTTGACGGGAGGTAGCTCACTGAGAAGATGCTGATACCACTGAAGCCGTATGGAATGATCTTGGTATGCTGAGAGATAAAAGTAGAGAAATCAGGGAAAGTAAGAGTTGAATAGCGTAACGGGATGGTGGACTTAAGAGTTCACAGTGGCAGAGCATACATTAAACAGTTGACATAACAGAATTAAAACATGAACAGGGAAATTATAAGGGATTCTCCAGTTCGTTGTAATTAGCAGCATGTTTTGAAACAAATTAAAATTTAGCCTGTCATGGGCAAATGCTGTATACAACAGTGTGCAGAAAGTTAGCAACTTTCTTTTCTTCAAGATCTTGCTGAAGCAATTCATCTGCTGTAAAGATTTATGAGAGAATGAAAAGAAGATTTAAAGGAGCAGAATTTGCAACAAGAAAGAGGGCCTGAAAATTATTAATCAAACTATTTAGTGAAGGAAAAGGACAAATAAATTGTGCCAACAAACGGCACTTCAACAGAAAAACTTTGGAACAATCTCATCATCAGCTTAAACAAGTCAGAAGCATTTTGAAAAAAGAGACAGTCTATCAAAAATTAAAACAACATTGACAAAAACCATTCTGTGGACTCACAAGCAACTTCTGTCCATTTTTTGTACAATCTGGATGTCAGCAGCGGATCCGGCAACTCACGGAAGAACTTCTTGAGTGCTCCTGTCACGTCGTGGACCGTGTATTCTTCCTTGAGACGAGCTGTGCGGGGATCCTCCGTGAATGAAGTCACAATCTTCCTGATGACGCTGCTAGTGCCGCTGAGACGATAGATGCCCTCCGTCATGATACCTGGAGAAACAGTTGGAAGTACCACAGTGAACGTAGAGATCAAATAAAACCCTTCCCAACGCTTGAGCCTCTCACAAATGGCTTTGTGTGCGCGCACACAGGGTATCTATATGTACATGCGTAAAATGTGAAGTGAAGACCCGAATGAGAAAAATCTCTTGCTAATTTACAAGATGACTTCACTTGATGATGCCCTTGTTTGGAACATTTTTTCATACAGGTAAAAATGACACAATGAGGTGACCTTCAGTCTATTTAATTTGAATGAACACAATAATCCGATTCAACTTGCTCTGGTCTAAAAATGCAGTCTTCATTGCTGTCTACGGCATTATCGAGGCTTTATGAATTATCTCTGACCCAGTAACAGTGAGAAAGTTGAAAAAACAAAGGGTTCTGATTATTTTTAAAAAACACTAAAACTTCCCATGCTAAAACAAACAGGCAAATAACAGAAATTCTTTCTCACCATCATGTGTTGCCACAAAGTTGATACACTGACTGACGATGATTGGTATGTTATCTCCAGTCAACAGCTGGTCTTCCAATGCCTGGCCACCTTGCTGTGTTTTTGAAGAAAAAACCACATGTCCAAGTCCTCTCACAATTTGTCATTTGTATACAGGAAATTTATAGCAGTCAGCTTTGTGTTTGTGATTTATGGTATTTTTAACAAAATTCACTCTCCTCCAAATGGGTGAACTTGCTTCATATTGAAACCTTACAGAGGGTAAAAACTGTACTCGTTCTGCTGTTATGCAGTTCATAAATTTGGAATTTCTTCATATTTCTTGCAAATCAGAAGAGGAATCTTGGAACATATATGCTGATTCCATATTTATGACATTTTGTTTTAGAATATGCTTATCTATCCACTGCACAAGTTTTGAAGGCTGTTGCTGTGAAATGTCACGGCATTACAACCATCACTATATCCCGCAACTATAGTCAGTGGCATTTGACCTAGAAATGGTTGGGTCTGCCATCTCTCCTTACCGATGCTAGTCTATTGATGGCTTCATACCAACAGTCAGCAGCTTGTTTGGTTTCAGCACGCAAGTAGATATTCCTACAACAAAGCAAAAGTTTATACTACTTCCATTTCTTTCCTAAACTGAATTAAACCAATCTGTTGTGTATTTAGGATGTACAAAAATATGATATCTCAAATAATTTGGCAATATTATGACTTGTGATCTGGCTGACAAATTTAATTTTAGAACCTGAAGAAAAAAGCTACTGCACTAAAAACACTTCAGCACTGTAACTAAATGAACAAGGTCTACCCCGCTGCACTTTCAAATACAAAGTATTCCCCTGGTTCAGCTCTCAACTAGACACTCTGCGAGTGGGAACTCAAGCCGACTTACTTTCCTGGGAGGACTATTGACAATGTGTGGGTGTAGTCTGTTGCACTGGTGCTGTCTGAATCTTGGCGACCTAGGGAGAGGCGACAAGAAACGATATTGTATCCAAGAACACTTTTGACTTATTTTAATATACACAAGAGCGTTTGTATACCACTTTCTATCAGAAATAAAAGTATGGGTTTAATAATTAAAACTTCATCTTCCGTTGTTTTCAGCTTTGAAAAGAAAACCACAGCTTATACTTTTGTTACTTATACCAGAAACCAATGTCAAAGACAGCTGTAGACAATGTGAAAGCCAGACACAAATAAAAACAATCTTCAATATAGTTTCAGTGTCCTTGCCTAAATGAACGTTGAAACTTCAAATAAACACTGCAGTGTACTTCCACGGCACCTGTATTTATACACAGACTTCCATTCTCATGCACATTTCATGACACTTTTTTTTCGAAGTACACAATGTGCTCATGCAACAGTTTGCCACATTCTCCTGGTAAATGATGCAATACGCATTCCAAGTTTCAACTGAATGTGCATAAAAGCGGTAGTGTAATGGCACAACAGCGATGCACTGTCTCATGACAGAATTGAGATGCCAGACTGACAATTTATTGTTATTCTACAGAGAATATTGTTCAATTAAGTATGGTATTATAGCCTCAGCAAACTCTGAAAGCCTGTTAATGAGCCAATTTGCTATTCCACCAGCATGTGCCCAATCTGAAGCGTGTCCGAGGTCATCAGGAAAAGCAGCACGTGGGTGCAATTGTCTGCCCTATCGCCATTTAGCGTAGCCATATGCTTTCATCCCTAAAGAAACTGCCCTTTTGTCATGCCGGACTAGCTCACTGGAAAATACCAGCTCAGACTTCCAGCAGAGACTGTATACATGTATGTGTTAATGTGTTCAAATTAGAGTCAATTACTGCATACAATAGACTCACTAAGTGAGATAAGCTTTCTCAGATCAATCTCCTCCAACTGGTCATTGGTACTTGAGAAGGAGACCACCGACTTGCCCTTAAGAATGAACCACAACCTCTGCCAGTTGGTCTGAAAAAAGAAGAAGAAATTTTCCACCGGTGAATAAATGAAGTGGCAGAAATACAGTGTAGAAATGATGTGGTGCATGGCAATTTTTACACTGAAGGGGAGCAGGGCATCTGAGCTGACAGCAACATTGAGGGAGTCAAAAACTTATGTCCATCATTTCTACTGCCAGTGATTGTCTTCTCATTTGTGCCAGTAAGTCCAATAGACAAAGGCTGTTGCTTATGTTACAAGAAACAAATGAGGCCTTTCCAAGTGAAAGTTTTCGAACCATAGACTTTTTTCATGGGGCCGGCCATATTGAATTTGAAAGCGATGTTAACTCTACATTTTTGAATGTTGAGAGTACAAATGAAGCAATAAAATGGAATTTCATGACAAACTTGCACCTGTCTACTCTGATGAATAATTCCAAATTCATGATTGAACACATAGAATTGTACCTTGCCAGATTCTAAAAATTATTGAAAGGGAGGCTTGGAATGCACAGAAGTATAAAACAGTCTGGTGACATCCTAATCCACAGTTTGCAATATATACAACAGATTTGGGGGATGAGATCAAAAAATGGCCTCCACGTGAATAGGGTCTAGAATGGACCAGTGGGGGGGGAAACCACACCCCCCCACAAGGAACCAGAGATGTTGTTTTCTTTTTTGAAAATAATGAAAGGCCATTTATTTGGTCCATCACGTATTTCCTTTCCCATCCCTCTAGAAGTGTGTTGAAAGCACCAAAATGTAGCCCTAACTCTCAGATAGGCCACATGCACAAAAAATTTCAAAAACATTATTTTGGTTCTGGATGCATTCTTGGACATAAGGTTGAGAGATTGCTCCAGACACCACGACACATCTTATACACTAGTGCCAGATGCTATTAATGCAGTAGCGCCACATCACATGCACGTTGAATGTATCCTTAAACTAGAGGCACACTGATCAAAGGGGCATTGAATGCATGTGAATAAGCGGCACATGAGTGTGGTGCTACGTAATGCCTCCTCAATCAAGGAACAAGATTTGTTTAGACACAAGTTCACCTTGTGGTCACGTTCATTCTAGACCAATCCAAGACAAGACATAACAACTAGGAAACATAGCCTACCGCTGCTGCCCCTTCCTTCTTGTGCAGGAACCCTGCCTGCTCAAAATCCTGCCAAAATAAAAGTCCGTCCAAAAATTCATGTGTTTATTCTTGGAAAGTATGGTATCTAACCACTACCACACTGCAAACGAAATCGCTATGGTATACATTCCAAGAGGTGGCTTGATATGAAAAGAAATTTAAAACTTCCAAGGTTTGGTTGATGATCAGAAAGGTGTGAAATTTCTTGTTTAAGCTTGGTTTTATTGTATGAAAAAAAAAAGATATATAACAACGTCAGCAGAACACTATAGAACAAAATAACTGTGCCATACATACATGTACATTGGAGTGTTTTTGTTAAATTATAAAAAGGTAATCAGTGACTTCAACAGAGTTTGTAATAACAAATGTTGTCTGGGTGAAACTGAAAACCACACAAACCACAAAGCTAGAGGATAAAAGTGTGAATTTCTCAGTGAAACAACGGTGTACTGTGTGTGTAATCTGCATATCTACGACTGTCCAGAAAACAATTAGAAAGAAGCTTGTTGAAGGGGAACTTGAGTAGGAGCGTGTTTTGAAACTGACAAGAACGTGTGCAGGGAAATGTTGCCTACCTCAAGACATCCCCACATGCATTCTAGTGAGTGAATCTGAAATGAAAGAGAAAGTAAAACATTGTAAACAATATGCACTAAGCATGAAAAAAATTAGTGCAAAGATTGCATGCGGTTCTGTGCATGTCACACATGAAACTGCGAATGCTGTGGGAATACTCTTCTGGGCTGAAATTGCTCGAACCCTATGAGATATGGGTTCCTGGTTGGTAGCAATATACCTTTGGATTTCCCCCCAAAACCACTATCCCTTTGGCTAAAAAATTTTAATCAGGAAATTTAATATTATTACATTTGAAGAAATGCAAGTGGGTAATTCCAGAAACTAGGGGTCCATTTTTTTCATGTCCCTGTCACATCTGACATGATTTTGTTCAGAACACATTTTCTAATTTCCAAGAGTGATGAATCAATGCAAATTACCTGCCCAATAAATAGTAATAGTTTGAAAATAATTCTGGTGATATTTCCATGTCAAATAAGAAAGGTCAGATGTAACAGGGACACAAACATTTCACACTTTTGGACCCGAATTTGTGGAATTACCCAAATATGCTTCAGTGGAATATTTACAGTGCTGTTTTGTAGACATCTGTTGACTGAATACTATACATGTGCAGTTTGTCCAACAAGTAACCAATGTTTCCGCACCAAGATTTGGCCTTCAGGACTCAAGCACGTACCGCACATGTGCGGTCATTATTGCTTGCAACGGATAAACATCATCATCACCATCCTTTAAGTATGGTCATTAGATTTTGGTATATGAGGCTACTGTGGGTGCCTGAATGGTCCTCCATTAATCAAACTTTGGAAGTGACTGTAACTGTGAAAGCGCCTTTTCTAAGATGGCTGAATTGAGTCATATGATCACCTTGGCCAGTGCAATCATCCATTCTTTTCTGTCTTCCTCTGTTTCAGCTGAAAGGAGGTATGTCCGTCCCGGTGAAGTGTAGATCTCAAAACAGAACTTGTGTCTGGAGACAGAAATACAACAGTTGATACAACACATACCTAACAAGCAAGACTACAGACAATGATGAGAACGTTTGATAGGTGATGGCAGTACACCTGTTGAACTGTAATTACTGCTAAATACTTACTCCTGTCATAGCCAACAACAGTCTGTGTCTGAATCTGTTAAACAACAATTTATCCTACTTGTCTGAGAAAAAAAGGACATGTCAAATCAAACTGTGAATAACAAACAAACCATGGAGTCATAAATCTTTAACAGGATCAATCATAATACAGACCTACTGCTAAAGCAATGGTGTATTCCAATTTAGAGAAAGAATACAACATTCTGCAGATGTAACCATGATAACCACAATAACCATGATAAACATGATAACCATGAAAACCATGATAAACATGACGACCACAATAACCGTGACATACATGTACTGCACTATAAATCCTAATGATGTCTGAACACGTTTTCATCCTCTGTACCCATTTCCATTGAAGGCACACTATAAATTAATTTAACTACAAACAAAAGAACAATTTCCAAATTTTTCTCACCCTTGTCTTGGTTCTGTGACTGCAATTAGTATCATTTCAATTCCCTCTATTGTGTTCTTGGCTGGCTGGCTCTGTGAATCAAATTGAGGTGTCTGGTGAACACAAATGGAAAAACTGCACCGGCCATTTCTCAACCAAAGTTGCAGAAATGGAATGATGAGACTTTGGAAGCAGTTGACTGGATGAATATTTGATTTCGCTGTGAATCACTAAACAAGCACTTTGTTTTGAACAGGGTTAAGCTGAACCCTCCTCAATATTCTGAATTCATGTATATGCATAGACGTGTGCCCTGCCTTTGAGGTCAGCTGTTTCAATATCTGACTTTTCAGAATGGTTTCAACTCTGACCTCGGTTCAGTGAACCACTAAAATTTGGTAACCATCAAGTATTGTTTCAGGAAACCTTCCTCAATCCTTCTGTGCAGTGGAGAAAATTACACAATCTTTGTATTCCTGAACTGTAGAAAAGGGACAACAAGCCCCATGTAAAACAGCTGTGACTGGACTTTATTATTAAGAATCTTGCAAAATCCTTCAAAACCTTTTCCTGAGATTTAAAGGATTTGGGAATAACAAGGTCAAGTGCTACATGAGTACCAAAATCAACTACATGTACTAAGACTTTAAAGTTTCATGACTTTTGCATGCCAATAAAGTAGGGATAAAACAAACAATTTACAGGTGACCTTTGCCCTTTAATCTGTCAACAAAATACACGTACACGGAGACAAAAGAAACAACCAAACCTTCTCTTCAAAGTAACTGAATATGCCGTGCTCCAGGGTGCAGAATCGCTTGAGAAATTCTGTTGGAAACAAAAATTGAATGGTAATTTCCAAACAAAAGAACACTGTTTATCAAAAGTTGCTTGAACACCAACTCAGACAACCAAAACATTTAAGAAGCAAAACTCTTGCCTTTCTTGTTATTTCCAGTCTTGTGCAAGTAGCCTGACTTCTTGATGAATTCTTGTTTACTCTCTCGAGCCATGTGCCGCACGGTGGATAATTTCTTCTCTCCTTGTTCTGAGGTTCCGGACGCAGCATCATTCTTCCCAGGAACAATTTCTGAACCAACAGCAATAGCAGCAATCAAATCAAGATAAGCAGACACTGGCTTTATCCCCGACCATTTGGTAGAGCATAACTAGGGTCTAAAGCAACAGCTCATATCCCGCTTCTGCAAATTTTTGCTTTTCAAAAAAAACCAGTTACAAGAAGATGTAACCTGATTGTTACAACTAGGTTTGCATAACATTGGTTTAGTGTAAAATATAAATATCACATGAAAAGAAGCAAGACTTACTTATGCCAACATTCTGATTCAGGAATTCCTGTAAAATGGAGAATATTTCCAATTAAGCATTAAGACTCCAAAGAGATAAAAGCATATAAAAGTGACTCTTCAAAAACAAAGATTCAAAAATTAACACGATTCTGATGATTTTAAGCTTTTACTGTTGACCCTTGTAAAACACAGACTGCCCAACTAGATTAGACAATTTCATACAAGCTTTCTTTATTTTAACATTACGCATAAAACAAAGGAAATCCAATGGCTTAAAAGTACAGATACAAGCATCTTCTATCGTACTTACTGCAACAACTGGGAAGTTACATTCTTTCGCTACATCACAAGCTGTGACACAAAAAAAAATAAAAACAATTACTTTCACAGTTTTAGGCAGATATGTCACAAAACCTGATATGTGTGCAAGCTTTATTCCAGAATTTCCATTTACACAGAAATGACAGATCACAGATGCTTTTTCACCTGATTTTAACAAGTTCCCTTAGAGTGCTTTTGGGCTCAGGTTACTCTGTCATTTTCCTGGATTTTGTCATTTAGAAGTTTTTATTGAGGAAGGCACAAGACTTTGCTTGAGGTTCGTGGGATTGTAAGATGGGTAATTCCAGAATTGAGGGTCCAAAAGTGTGACGTTTTTGTGTCCCTGTTACATGATGTAACAGGGATGTTACATCTGACCCTTGTTATTTGACAAGGAAATATCACTGGAATTGATTTCAAACTATTAGATTTGTAAATGAGTAAATAGACTTGCAGATGGGTAAATTTGCACTAATTCATCACCCCATGAAAACTAGAAAATGTGTTTTGAACTTAAAACTCTTATGTCAGATGTGACAGGGACATGAAAAAAAAATGGACCCCTAATTTCTGGAATTACCCAGATCCCATATTGTCATGGGCATAGTAAGTCACAAAAGTAAATGCTGTTCTGCAAAAATTGTAGTTTTTAAATTTTCAGGATGAGACTCCCCTTGGCTGATGACTTTGAGCCAAGATGGACGATGTTCTTACCTGTCTTGCCATCTTCCCTCGTGTAAGACACCTGCAGACAAATAGGACGCATGGTGACTTAATCTCCAAATTATAAATTGCTAAATGAAGTATGTCTGCCTGGACTCCACAACTCTAAAACAGTAGCAACAATTGTTAAATTGAGACAATGATGTATGAACTTATGAACTTCCCCTCGTTGAGCGATAAGATGGTCATGGACATTGGGCATTATGTCACTACGGTCAGTCAAGACCTGAATGGATGACTGTCTTGCCACAGGATGAACAAAGACAATATGTCCATTTTCAAATCTTCATTTGTTGTTGTTCATTGAAGTCTGATAAATGCAACCTAACATAACAGAAATGTGCAGAAAGGTTGCTCGTTTGGCTCTCCCCTAGCTATTCAAACTGCGGTGAACCTTGCTCAAATCCCTCCTGATTCACCATGTGGGTTAACTGATCAGTCTTCAGTTAAAACTGAAGAATTAGCTCTATGTTATTCCTACCAAGTCAAAATGTGGAAACATTCCCTCGTTTCTGACTCATTTTGTTTTCCTTTCAAATCCAAACATGAAATGGTCCTTTATTTCCTACTCTCATCAAAAGATTCTCAACTCATTATGGGCCATTAGTTCTTCCCCATGAGTTTGTAAATTAACTGTCTGTGAAATCCTTGGACAGATCCTTTCAGTGGTGTTCATTTTCTGACACACTGACTTCCACCATAAAAATATTAATACATTTTTATAATTAAAGAATACATTTTCATGAGGACTTTAATTGAGAAAACCCTCAATAAGTACGGTATCAAACACATTAAAACTGAGACAATACTGCCATCTAGATATATTTCTCCATTGATAATTACCGTCATAAAAAGTAACTGCATTTACTTGTACATTTTTGAATGCAGAACTGAGTACATTTGTTAAGTCAACCATGAAAATAGAATACGACTCTGTGAAAAAAAAATCATACGTGTATCCTAATTTGGCACTGTGCCACAAACCACAGGAAATGGGACTTCCTGTACAAAAAGACATGTGGAAGAGTCTACTTTGATAACACACAGACAAAAGAAATTTCTCCCAAAATATATCAAGGCTGCTTCACTTCACTGAACTGAAAGTCCTGTGTGGAGTTTCATGTGTCAACACCCAGACATATGTATTGATATGTCAAGACAAAGGCTGTTGTATTTACTGTGACTTGCTGTAGGCGGCTAGCTTTAGCACTCTAGTGCCCAGTTCTCAGTTCATTGTTCCATTCGCTACACCTGTTGAGGACCGAACCAAAAGGATGACCGTTCATGTGTAATATTCCTGGAGAAAACTACTTACATTTGCTCCGGAGAAAACCAGCTGAACGCATTCCTCCAGATTGCCCAAGGAGGCCGCTTTTAATAGAGTCTATGCAAAGGAGAAGGAACATTCCTAAATTAAATGGTTAAATAATCAATTCTGATTGGCAGTGAACTGCTCATGTGATTATAATTAAAACCTGTGATAAAAGAAGCTCCTTTTGCTCTGATATTTAACACAGGGATGCATTTGCTCTTCAAAATAGATATCTACCATGTCATTATGGAACAAACAAGGACAACGTCATGCTGACCTTGGGGAATTCCTTCAGAAAGAAAAATATGATAAAAATAGCAAGGCGTTACAAATAGACTTATGTCATCCTAAACAGAACTAATTACTTTAAAACTACACCTCTGCAACTTAAAAGAAGTAATGGTACTGAAAAAGACAAAGGTAAAAGTTTCAATTCCACATGTACCTCATTTGAAACATGGAACCAGTTCTTACATACATAATTATTACTTACCCTATTCATGTTTTTATCTGTAATCAGCCTTGGCTTGCAGTATTTTCTATCTCGGTACTTGCCAACAATGTACACTTTCCTCCTTTCTCTGCAATGAAATGGATATTCATCTTTTTGAGCAGCTGAATATCAGACAAAAAGTGTTCCAAACGGTACCTTTTTGCTAATGTAAAAAAAAAATTAAGTACGAAATATTGAAACCCCACGACAAAATAGGCATGCTAGGGTAAAATTTTCTTTTGTTAGGAAATTGGATTGTTGTAAAATTCCTTTTCCACAACCCACAGGAATCCACTTACAATGTATCATCAGGTACAGCTTTCTCATCCTCATTGAGATGGGCTTCCCAGAAGGCATTGGACCTGTCGTTGCCAAGGTCCATAATAAGTTGAACAAGTGCTGGTGTCCACACTTTGGTGTCCATCTTCAGGGATCGAACTTTGGACAAATGCACCCCAAGTTCCCTGTGCAGGCCTAGATGAGGGAATAAATGGAAACGTTTTGTTGATCACCTTTCCCCATAGTTTAAATCAACAAACTGTGAAGTAGATCGGGCTTAACAAGTGTGTTGGGCTGAAAGTTCCATATTTGCACACTGAGAGTAGTGATATATGTTGAATGAATGGGACCCGTGCTGGACCAAGAGAGGGCACAATTTTTGTAGAATCAGAGGCTCTGTTGGTAGTAAATGTGCTTTGCTGGTTCACAAACGACTATAAGACACAAGCACTGCAGTGGCATCGTTACAACGCTACCAACAAAATGCACACATCTGACCTGCGTGGTTCTTTTCAACTGATGAGGGGGTGTTTCTGCTCGGGGCAGTTTACAGTGAATCTTTCACATCCTGTACTTCTTTGATGCAGTGACTATAAAGTACAGTATCTTTTCTGACATCCAGACCATTCTTCTCCTGCAGGTTTGTTTCTGACCATGACACAAAGTCCACCGCAGAAATTTCCACTATAACATAGATGACTGAAGAATCTCTTGGGAAGAAAATGTTGAGGAAGCTCAGAAAATTGGGACTGACCAATGAATGCTCTATCCACATGTGTGTCCTGGTATGGGTGGGGTCCAAAGTAAGGCTAACAGGTGTCAAAAGCCAAGAAAAGAACTATTAAGCCAAAAAGAGGGCCAAATAAGAACCTTCCACATTATTGACTTAGCTCACCTGAACAGTTCTTGCATACACAGATGCCTAAGTTGATGCTGGCCCAGTCTGGATCTGTCAAAAGAACAAATAAATGCTCATGAAACAGAACATATTGCACAAACTTCATGTGACAACTGTTTGAAGAGTGAAGTGATTTGGACACTGCATGGCAATATTTACTGAAGATTTGACCAGAGTGGGAAATCAGTTTAGAAACAGTCATGTCAGCAATAGCAAACAAGGAATTTGGATTGTTAACCCATGGCGTGTGCACACAGATACATGTACTGTGGGGAACATGGGTACCCAAGTGAAGTAAAACACATTACAAAGGGTACCTTTAAAAAAGTGACCCCAAATTTCAAAGAAAAAACGAAAAAGTAAACAAGAAACACACATTCAAATTGCCAATGCTGTTTCGACCCAAAAACTTGAAATGAAAGCTGTTTTAGTATTCCGTGTACAAATGAAATCTGACTTTCATTTTAAAATTTCCTCTCAAAAATGGTGTTTACTCATCTTAAAAGATGCACATTTTAACACTGGATCAAAATGTTATCAGGTGGGTACCCGTTTCCCAAGCAAAGCTCTAATGTTGAGTGGATCTGCCCAGTTATAATAAGTAGGACAATGAAATAAGCTCAAGGTTCTTCTGAAGTAAGCACGCACAAGTAAACTAAGAAACACTGGTGTTCCACAGTTGAAGTACCTGACACTGTCAACCGAGGTCAGTGAATTTAGGATGTATTTCTAATTCGAGCAAGTGGTATTCTTTCACAAAGAAGCACTCCAACGTTGCCCACAGTGGCAACCACACTATTAATTCCACAGAAATGGAATGATCTAGTTTGACTAACCTTTCATCCTGCAATCTGCACAGTACTTGTTGGAAGGATTCTGATACATTTGTTCCAAGATCTACAATGACCAGAATCAATATCAAGTCTCATAACAACATCAATTCATTTCTGGCAATGTGCATGTTTTTTTAAAGTAGTGACTATCTATACAGCCAAAAGAGGGTGAAGGTCTATGTTAATTGGGAAAAGTAAAAAAACAAAAATTGCAATAATTTATGCACCAAATGATGTGTACTGAATCAATTCTGGAATCAATAGGCACAAAACATGTACATGTACATAGTTTACCAACACACTGACATTATTTCAAGGAGGGGCAATACATAAATAAAATCCCAAATATATAGGGGAAGATATATCCCAGGTTGGATGACATCATCATTACATTACGACTAACGTCCAGGGTATAAAGGATTCCTAAGATAGTCAAAGATTTTACAACAATTTCTTTTTCACATTTTTACCTGAGGTAGTTGAAATCTTGTTCACATGTTCTTCATGTCCAGCATTATCCACTTGCGAGGTTTACAGTGACTAAACATGGGCAACATATTTGTAGGAAATAAATCACACATCCACAATTCTGTCCTTGTCATTCCGCATGAACTGCACGTGAAGACTTAACCATGTGCACGCATGCATGAGCGAAATGTATAGCAACTGATATTCTCCTATGTGGTAGGGCTGTAGGCATGCACGAACATACTCGTCTTACGTGCCACAGGGCCGCATGAACATACAGTGGGTCGGGCGTATGACGATCAGGTAACTTCACGGTTTCGGGTCCTCACTTTTCTAAATTGTACCTCAGTGTGGAACAATGTCCTTGACTTCGGTAATTTGCGGTAATTGTCAAATGACCACTTTTGAAAAAGTGCAGAGGGGCTACTAGAAATTTTCTGTGAAAAGTTTGTCAAGTCCCAGGACAGCAATCACGTTTGCCAAACAAGCTAAAAACATTTCCATTTCACAAAACAGCAGTTATTAATTGGATTTGTTGCGGTTTTAGCTTGTAAGGCACACAGTACGCCATTGTCTGACATAACTGTTTCGATTGTCTCCTCCATGTCACAAATATGATGGCACGAGTGCCAAATAGTTAATTAAATCCAGGGCTATAAAAGTACACGGAACCGTGTGTCATGTATGACGAGCACGTTCGTGCAAGCCTACAGCCCTACCACGCATGCGTAGGGGAGTAACAAATGCTATGCCTTTTGCACATGCGCGCACACAAATGTTAAGTCTTCACAGGCAGTTTGTCTGGGATGACGACGACAGAAGTGTGGAGTTGTGATGTATTTTCTATGAATACGTTGTCCATATTTACTAATTTGAAACCTAGCAATTGGATAATGCTGGTCATGAGGAACTTGTGAATGAGATTTCAACTACCTCTGCCTGGTAAAAATGTGAAAAAAAAATTGTTGTAAAATCTGTAACAATCTTGGGATGCCTTTACATCGTAGACGTTAGTTGTAATGTAATGAAGACGTCGTCCAAACCTGGGCTAGGGAAAATCATGCATGAAGGCATGGTGAACTTACATAAGCCAATTAAATGGAAGAAAAGTATCATGGGGAAAGCACATATCACAAGTATAAGCCAGTACAGTGGACACATTCCAAATCCCTGAAGAAGTGAATTGATTTTCTGCAAAATGTATGCGGTTTTTACAGAAAGAGGTCTGAGGTGTGGCTCGGATGACACCAAGGGGTGGGGGGTGGAAACATTGGAGGAGGGGGTCTGGGAGGAAGACCCTCACCGAGTGATCTGATAATCCTTCTTCAATAGCGTCCTTCATGGCTATCATCCAATCCTTCACATCTTGAGGATTCTCCAGGGTCAGTCTGTTGGGTCAATGGTCAGTAAATACCTTACAAAGTATGAGTGTGAGATAGACAAGGCTTACTGAAAAATAATAAGAATGGTATTCAAGAGTTGGAGGCCGTCATCACACTTGGACCATTTTTTCTTTATTCAATTGACAATTCAGTTCCTCCTGAAAAGAAAACGGAAATTTTTATAACTGATGATTTGACTTAAGACCTAGATCTAATAATTCCAGTAATTAAAAGAAGGTATACCTGACCTACATGTACATGTACCAATCATTACAACTTCAGCAAAATGAATTTGATTCAAAAGGAAATGTCTATGTGAAATGTTGAATACAGCACTCCTTCTCAACACAACATTTGTAAAAAATGAAGCAGCCATGCTGACGTCCAACTTTTTGCAACGTTGCAATTTTTTGTTTAAGAACAGCCTGATGTCAACCAAGCAGCTAGTGGACATGTTAATAATAAATGTGATAGCAATCTAAACAATCTTGTGATGCAACCAAATAAAATGAGCCACAAGTTGCCTAACCAAAGGATGGTGTCATCGTCAAGCAAAACTACTAGATTAAAGTGGTTAGGAGAGGACCGGCCCCCAAAGTCATCTCGGCTTTTCAGTAGCCGAGTGTTCTTACTAGCTACTTACATGTATATCTTGCCAGGAGTAGCTAACTGTAGCTTGTTTTTGGGAAGTTCCTTGACCGAGGCCAGCTTCATCTGGATGTCCAAAATGGCCACGGCTGACTCAAAGTCCTGGTCAAATTAAACCAAATAATCAAAGAATACAAATCATGGTGAGTTTCGTCAGGTTGAACACCTACTCAAGCAGATGTAAAGTCTCAGAGTATTTTGAACAGGTGGATATACTTAATACTAAAGCAGGAATAATTCTTATACCATCAGTAAAGGTACACTACCATTGCGGTGTTGTACATGAACAATCTCTCTCCTTTAACTGCCAGGAATCTGTTAAAAGAAAAACAAACATCCTAAAATGTGGAACTTGAACTATTGACAAAAATACACATTTCATCAGTCTATTTTGTGAAGAGGATGTGTCAGTCAGTGCACATGCATGTGTGTGTGTATTCACGCCAGGCATTTGTGACTTCAATTCTGAGAGCAACCACATGCAAAATTACCAGTTCTCATCAAAAATATTCCTTCTACAGTTGATCCCCAAAAGTCTTTTAGCCGCATACTTACATTCTTGTCAATACATTTCGATGAAACTAACTTGTCTCGGAATTACTGATGGAACAATTTAGAATACATCCCTAATGTCCTCACTGACAAGAAGCTTGTGAATGACATAAAACCCTTTCCTTCTTTTAAATTTAATCTGTCATATTTTACTTTTGCCAGGAACTAAGCCATATCGTCTGCTGAATGACTCGTAACTAATCCTCTGAAATCTTTCCATTTTAGGTCTGTATTGTTTTGAAAAATTACTTCACTGTACCTTTTTTGGTGGTACCCCTCAATTTTCACATAGCCCTGTAGAAAGACCAATACATCAAACACTGAACTTAGCAAATGAAAATATTTCCAGGAAAATCTAATGACAGTTCCATGAAAAAAACCCTGTAGAGGTAGAATGTTGTAAAATGAGGGCAATTTGGTAGGACACATTGATGTTTTCAACCAACATGACCAACGCTTGGCTAAGTTGCTGTCTTCATCAATCTCATTATTAGACAGTTACATTTGCTACATACATGTACAGTGTTCTCCAGCAGGGGTTTTAGCAGGATGGGCTGCTCTGCCAAAATTTTAGACCGTCCTGCTATTTCTTCTATTGGATTTTCTCTATTCTCCACCGTCTTCACAGTTTATGTAAATGCAAAGAAATTTACCGCACTTTATGGAGTGAACATGAGTTTCGAAGCATTATTCAGCACAACAGCATAGCACTTTGCATCAATTGTGATCAAAGCCAGATGCAGTATATTACGTAATCACAAAATTCTGGACTAGTTCTAATCTCCAGATCATAGCATTTTCATTTTGTCACCTCAAGAACAAATACCTCAGATGCATTTTTTTCTTGGCAAATACAGCCAATTTCCTACATGTAATTCCGAATTTTTTCCCAGATCCAGATCCGTTGAAATAAAACTTCTTTCCTTCTGCTTCTTAAACTACTCCTTTTGTGTTCTACATTCTCAAACAAGTTCAGTTAAAAAGGTAAAACTTAAGAAACTTGTAGAAATTTTGTTTTCAGAAGACGTCTAGAAAGGGACTATTTTCTGCCAGCTAAATTTCCATTTCAAACTTAGACATTTCTGAATTGTCAAAAATCATGTCCAAAAATTACAGGGTGATACTGGTAGGTCATTGTGTACGTGTGATTTCAAAAACTTTTTTCTTACTTGACAGTGCTATACACTACTGCATCTAATGTATGTTTGATCAAAATGATTTTTGGAGTTTACTTTTTTTAATGAATTGGCCTATTTTTCCTACTTGTGGATTACACCATAAGTGCATGCATGTATGTTGCGAACTCAACTGCGTGGGCCCAGCAGAAACGTAAATGTATGTGACGTAATGGGTCCGTCAACTGTGCAGCATGGGGGATAGTCGCTGATTGCTTGCAGTACAGCTAAAAACTGGGGTTTCACTTTTTAATTCACTGAAATTCTTATTTATGAACTGATTTTCTCAAAATCACGAAATTCTTAAATTAGAAAATCAGCTTGCTACAGTGGCTCTGGCTGAAAATGGATATTTTGCATGGCTACTTATTATACGAGAAAAAAAATGTCGCTATTCGGAACTGGTTAAACCGATTCAGAACTACATGCAGAAAGTGTTGTCACTTTTGACGATCCCATAAGTCTAAATTAAAAGCTTAGATTTTGAAAGTAATTTTGTAGTTTTTTCAATGCCCAAGGTGGACCATGCACTGATCATATTTCGCCAGAATTATAGGATTTTGTTGCTGGAATCTGACTATGGAGTTATTTTTGTTATCTGGAATTAGGGAAGCAACTGTACATCATCTACTTGCGCTGTGCCCACGTACGTACATGTACATATGACCCCCGAACCATCTGCTCCATGACGAGTTCCGATCAGTAAAAAGAAGAATATGCCCCAGAAAACAAAAATCAACAATCTTGCCTTCATTTCAAATTATTACCACTAGCAATTTGATTCAAGGAGTCAGAAGAAAGTGCCCATGAAATACCTCCTATTGCACCACAGAACATCTAGAATCCAAAATTTCCTGGGGCCCTTGAGCGGACCCCGGACTGTAATGGCTATAATTTCAGGCTTTGGAGAACACTGCTTGTATTTCTAGACCAAGTTAGGCTTGAATAAATTTGATCTGTAAAGGCCTCATGAAGGCTATATGCTGTGCTACTGTCATGCCAAACACAAATAATTCAATTTTGAAAAGTTTGGCAAACTGAATTTGGCACAGCAAGTCCTTTAGCTCGACAAAGTATGCCACACTATCATCATTTCAAATTGCAGTAGCATGACACTGCTCTATTTAAGTTTGGTGTTAAGCGCAACTGCCACGCTGTTGCCCTGCTATTGCCACATTCATTTTAATTAAGTTTGACACGGCAGTAGCATGGTGTCTACTAAGTTACAACCCTGAGATTCAATGCTTCAGAAACATCAAAATTAAAGGTGGGAAATTTTGTTATTTGATTCCAACTGTAATCATCAGAAACTGGCTTTGTACACAAGATGAAGCTAGAATGGAGACAAAAAGGCTACTGATTCTTGTTTGGTACATGTACGTTGCAGCAGGAGAGGAGACTCCATTTCATGAATATGTAACCAAATGTGTCAGTTTCGATATTCCAATACAATAGATGGGGCACCACGCACAAACAAGAAATAACTCAAACAGAATCAGATGTATCACACAATTGGCATTTCCTTAAATAAACAAAAACAAATGCATGCAGGGAACTCGTTGTTAGTTCAGCTCCTTAACATAAACAGACAATACGCAAAGTCATTTCTCCCACTGGCCACACACAAAACATGGAGAAGGAGGGTTTTCGCATAAGACTGAACACACATTTCCTGCTGCAACGACTGGAGACCTGTGATGTGTAGAGATCTCAGTGGGGACATGATCTCATTGGGATGTGAAGTCATCGTTCCATGAATGGAGCTCCATCACAGCGAACCATGTTTGGCATTACCAAAGATACCGAGATGCGAATTGGAAATCAGGATGAAAATGACAAAATTCCACGGGGTGCAAAGAGAGCATTTCAATATGGTTTATATGGATCTAGCAATGGGAACTATTGTATGTCTGCCAACACGGTCAGTGTCGTCTAGAGTTTCTTTATAAAAACCACAATTTAACTCGACTTGTTGTCTACGTCATTTTTATTTGCACCTCAACCCCACGACACAGAATACAACCCACCTGTTTGTCTGGGCAGCTCATGTCTCCTCCCACAGGAAATCCACCAGGCGGAGGCTGTGCGTAAAACACATTGCATTATCAATTTGGAATAAATATTGATAGGACAACACCTGTGCATCACCAGGAAGTCAAAAACTAGCAGTAACAAATCTGTATGGATAACAGGCCTGACTTCTTCCCCACCATCATAGTTTTATGGGCCACTTGCCTGTTTGTTTAAAAGCAATTTCTTTGATGCTAAATTTCTTGTAAAATGCCTCTTCCTTCGCCATGAGGAATTACATCCCACAGATTAGAAATACTTTGAGTACTTGTGATATGAATCAAAGGCAAACTTAAGTTATTCCTTGGAATCCCAGAGCAAACTTGTACAGTTTAACAGTTGCTGAAAAAATTTGCTCTTTAAGCAAACAAAATGCTAGGATGAAATGACTGAATGGCTTAAAGCTCAATATTTCACACAAGTTTGCCCTTCCCCAAAAATTCCAGCCCCTAAAATGGAAAAGTCTCAACCATTTACATGTTAATAGAGTTATCCTTGACTTTAAAATAATTGTGAGCTACGATGAAACTGTGACTATCATAACAAACTCCTTTATTATTACTACAGTCATAAGTCTATTTTCGTATTTCCTCAATCTACATCCCTTTTCCCCAGGCACAAGATTCATCAAACAGAACTGCAATCACTTTCTTTGAAACCTGTTTCCCACATATTTGCTCATTTTTATTACTAACCGTACATGCAAAATTAGGATGCTATGCAAATGACTATGAAAAGGGTGGTAAATCTTACCTCATAAGACAATATAGCCTGCATAAGTACATTGGCCCATAATGTACCCTCATCTGAAAAATGAGGATATAAAAAAACGTGAAAAATTAAATTAATTACCAAATTAGGCAAAAGAGCCAGATTAGTTAGAAGCTGAATATAAAGTGCTAAGAACTCAAAGCCCCTTTGAAACATGAAGAGGCAAGTTCTTATTACAAGTTTATCGCTTTCAAGTTCTTATTACAAGGTTATTGCTTTCAGACAATAGTCTTGGATGGATTGTCAATATGTTTGGTTACAACATGTAAATGAAACTCAGCTGCAGAAGGTAACCACCCTTCATCTCTCCATAAAACAAAAAGAAAAGACAAAGACAAAGAGTGCAGTGAAATCAGTCAGGGGATGAGAAGGTAATAGAAATGATATCCATTTCACATATTGTACACAAACACANACACCCACCTGAACATACAAAACCAAGATATCCAAGTGTCCAATAAATCTAAGATCCAAGAAAATATACCAAGTGACATGAGAAAAATTCAGGTTAACAGTTACCCAGAGTTTCTGCCGCAAAGTGAAATGATCTGCCAGTTGTTTCTAGAATAATCCGGTACTGTCTGGTATCTCCGAACTGCCAAAAATATACAAAATAATCAACTTATAAGAGGTGAACATGGAAAAAAAATCTTCCGAAAAATTCAGTAATATAAAAGGATAAAATGGCACTGGAAAGCATGTGTACTATTTAAAAAATGTCATGTAAAACATTAAACACAGTGCTTGATTATATTTGACTTTTGTGGACAAATTATCATTACCACGGCTTTAAGAGTAGAAAACTTCCCAATTGATGTATTTGTTCCATTATCACGTTTACGTGCGATGGAGATATAACTAATGTTATTTGGGACAATATTTTATATATGCTGTATCCATTGTGCGCTTCCACTGGAGAGTGTTAATCTCATGCCAATTTTGCAAAGGTGCTGGGGGTTTAAGAGCAACCAGTTGAAGACTGGTTCACAAAGATTCTCTGCCATTTACCTCAACAAACCAGTGAATGTACACAACTACAATAGCCCCTTCAGAAGTTCCTGAAAAGTATGCACGGGTATTGTTGACATTTTTTTTCCCAGCAAGAATCAAGGAGAAGGTTGGGAAAGTGTTTTCAACTCACCCCTGGTCTGGTGTTTCCGCAAAGATTTTTCACATCCCGCATGGTACCCACAGGAATAATTCCCTTGCATTCTGAAAGCTGGGAAAGATAAAAAACAGTCCCCAAAATCATAGAGTCAGAAATACCACATTTTAAAATGTAATGAAATACGTTCTAATTTTAAGTTTTGAAATATTTTAGAGGATTTCACTTTTTGTATTGGATGCCTTCCAACATATGATACTAATGTAACTAGCCATTTGGCTTGAAATAAAATTTTCCAACAAGTGTTTCATGAGAAATTTAAATGGCTTTTAGCCAATATTCTCTAAAAACACTACATTATGTGAACAGTGGTCATAATAAGAAGTGGATAGGATTTCCATATTTAGGATTTCCATATAAGGTGACAAATCTGTTTTTTTTTTTCAATGATTACAACCGAGCAGTCCTTTTTTTCTGTGAAAATGACTAACCTTTTTCTCGTTTTCGTAGTATCTCATTTCTAGCCCATCAAACACCATCCAACGCTTCCTGAAACCTTTGTTGTTCTGTTTCCTGTTGCAAGCCAAAGCAAGAATAAGTTTTGATCATTAAAGGTACATCCTGAAGTTGAACGACAAAGAAAATATCAGATGCTTTGAAAAACAAAATACAGAAGTCTGAATCTGGATTGAAATATCTGAAACTATTGCCATACTTAACCCTAATAGAGCGGGATTCTTTTGGACTATCTACATGTAACAGCCCGGGGGAGGGCGGTATTCCGGCCCTAAGAACTGGGCTGTCCCACATCTGATTTTTTTAAGCCCAACATACATGTACATGCAGAAATACTCATTATCAGTATCATTATACATTATCAAATGTCAGGTTTTGACTCAAGCTGATATATGGTTTTGTTGTTGCGGTCAATTGAAGTTCAAGGCCGCACATGTGCCAGCCTGTGTGCACTAAGCACCTCAGTGGATATGCATGTACAGTGTATGTTAATGCTAGCTGACATGTCTCAGCAAAATGGATGCCAAGCAAGAAAGGGAAGGTCAGAGTTTCACTAAATTGGTGTCCAAATGACCACAAAAAGTTAGTGATAAAACCATGAAAGCTCATTAGCACCTTATGAAACTGAACTAGAAGGATATCAGGAAAAGATTTAGATATTCCACCCCCTCCCCTGCCTCTTGTAGGGTTACGGGGGACAAAGTCGTAGACACTACCAGTGTTACTCTGCAAACCAAAAACATCAACTTCCTGAATTTTTTTAATGTAAACTGAAAACCTTTTTTTCTACTCACCCTCCTTGCTTCCAGAGGTAACCTTGCTTTGTCAGAATTGTTACCTTGTTAGTAGGAGTCTATCACATAAAAAAGGTTAAACTCGTACAGTAAATGAGACTTGTACAGTATGTACATGTATGTATGTGCTGTGGAAAGAACATGAATGCCAACAAGATTAAGGTTTGTCAAATCTTCATTGAAGGCAATCAATTACTCAATTTTGACTTTCAATATTGTAAGGAATTAATTTTCAATACCTGCCGAAGTAAACCAGTCTATTTGTTTGGTTTACTGATTGCATACACACTGTTTGAAATCAATGTGTCATGTGTGTGGCCTATTATAGAACAGTATCCTGTATGTACACTGCTCAGCATAAGAGGAAACGGCATGCACGGTGATCGTCTAATGTTGCCTAGGTATGTATTAATCTACCTGACTTGCAGGAATACACACCTTGTGTGTCAATGAGGGAAAAATCCTGACCTTGTACTTTCATCAAGGGTGCACATGTACCGTACATGTACAAAAAGTACACGGATCGCACGATCAAGTTCACAATTCAGTACAACACTGCACTAAAAGATTCCTACATGTACACGTATTTGACACCTTTGTTTTTGTGTGCCTGAAAGCAATCAAATCAGTAACCATCTTCACCATCAGGAATTTCTGCCTCAGCTCTACCATAACACTATCAAACAGTCATTCATGTACGCTATGAAATATGCACGCAATATCCATTCAATGTACATATACAGTGTATGTTGAAGGAGTTCCCTACATGTACATTGACAGTACATACCATGGGGACGAGACTATTACACCATCAATTTAATTTTTTTCATTAATTTCATAAACAAATTCTTGACTTTGTTTTACATACGCGAACAACGACACAGGTAAATTAACATGAAAGACGACCAATGTTGAAGAGTTTACTAGGCCTATATGTACCTGCACATGTACTATTGATGTCACACTTGGTTTATACATTTTACTTTCATACATGTATAATCAGTTGGGCCCATGGTCCATTGAATACCACAGGAAAGCACACATGTAAACTAAGTGCAATGTCATCAGCACCTGTACCAAGGTCTATTTCCTTATCAATCAAGCATATATACATGTAGCGGCATTATGCTGTTCAGAGATAGGTTTATACATGGAAATGGCAGACCATGCATACAGCAATACACAGAATTATGTGTATAGAGACTAAGCAGTTTTCGAAGAGTGACATCCCAGTGTTGAAATTTTCCAAGAGATATTTCATGTGTACAGAATTAAATTAAAATTTTGGGGAAAAAAAAACCAAACGAAACAAAAACACAAGAATCACTAACAACACAAGCACATTCTTCAAACAAACTTCATAAAGAAGTTGTACCCCAGTTGGTTGCATTCACGTACAGGTACCAGTATGGTATGCACACTGTAGGCCTACACATTCACAGTTCAAGCTGACAGGGCAATAAAAATGTGAGTTCACGAACAATAGGACACTAACTTTCCCATGCATCAGGAAAGTACAAAAGAGTGAAGGGTAGTAAAGTGTGCTAAAGCAAGCACTACATAAAAGTGTGTACATGTTCCTAACAATGTACAGGTAGCTACAAGCTAGTATTCATAAATGATTGAGAACATCTGAGGCCAAACTTCAAATCTGAAGCCAAGCTTATATGTATACACATACATGTACTTGAAGGAAATTTAGGTGCTAGATACTATGTACACGTACATATGCAAATGTACTGTATGTTCAACAGGACAGGCAGTTGTATGAACCTACATGTGTACACTGTATATGTACAACATTTGATGTCACAGAACTTGCTTTCCTTTCTTCTCTGGGTCATTCAGTGTCATATCTTAGGTTTTATATGTTTTAAATGTGATCGACAAAGAAGTTGAATCATTCTTATTTGGCAACAACTTTTGATCCATGTGTACATGTAGTATTTCATGAGTGTTTTCAAACACATGGGAGCATAAAGAGACATTGCTTGATATAGTGCGCATGCAGGTATTGGCTCAAATATTGTTTTTTAGACCTACCGGGTAAAAATACACATCTTTAAAGGAGGCTTGGTGACGGAAAATCTTGAGAACTGTGAATTGTTTTGCAGCGGAAAGGCTGAATGCAATGAAAGTTCAGGGGGTACAAGTGCATCTGCACGGCTTCTGGTGGCAAAAATGCTCATCCTGTACAATGTTATCAAAATGGACAAACCTACATATAGGACAGTATTTTGCAGAGTAAAACCTGAAATGGGAGCTACATGTACATTGTAAATGTGACAGATGTTCATAAAAACTGCAGTGCTATGTACATGTACATGTATCTTTTAAAATTATACCCAGTTTTGAATACACAATGCGGACGTTTTATGAAATGGAGGTGATTCAGCAAGGAGTTTCCAAAATACCCTCTCTGTTGGGAACATAAAGTATGAATGACAACCCCCCCAAGTGTACGTATTACATTGCTTCATCACACTTTTCTTCCCTCAGAACAGATACACTCTTGCTGCTTACCTCAGCTGCGCTGTTTCTATCTTGCAGAGATTGCGAGAGCTTTTTGGAAAGTCTTTTTCTAGTGTTCTCCTGATATTTGCATGCCACAAAAACAAAAGAGTGCGATTAGTACACCATGCAGTTTCCAAGGCAACTAAGCTAAACAAATTAGGATGTAGAGCTTTCTTTTTCAATCATATGAGTGTTAACTACAGACACTTGGTGCAGAAATTGAAAATACTGATATCAATCGAAATAACATTGAATAAAAATATTCATCATTGTCAGCAGAAGTTATGCATGCTCAATTTTTGGAGTGAGATTCCTTGAGCAAGCTCTCACTTAAACTGGTGATCTTCTCTACTTTGTAACTTTTTCATATAAAGTAAGTTCATTTTGCTTAACAAGCATAACAAGGTCATTTAGAGCAGTATCAGTAAATTATGGGTCTATATACCGGTACATGTACATACATGTACCTGTACATTCCAAAACTAGCCAGAATGAAAGTAATTTAATAAGAAAACAAGCCTGTGTGCACTGTTCCTTTCAATTTAGATTACAACTTGACTGCAATACTAACAGAACCTCACTTTTGGAAGTCAATGAAACTGTGCGTATAAACACAGACAAATGATGTAGTTTGAAAATACTGCATACATGCTCACAACATGTGCTGTCAGTACACGTGCAGACGTTCATTTTTCTATGTTATCCAACCACCGCTACACATTGCAAAAACATTACCAACATTTACTCTTTTTCTGGTTAAGAGAGTTCTTTACTGAAATCATTATGTGTACCAATAAAAGGAAAGTATGGAGTTGAGAAAGTTGACGCAGTACAAGTTTTTAAAGTACATGTACATACAAACATGTAAATGCAGAACCTTTAGATGTATACATGCGCTTGTGGCAAGGTTACATACCAGTTTATTTATACACATGGGACAACTTCAATGTCAAATCAAAAAGGAAAGAGGGCACTCTATGTGAAAAAGGAGATTATTATACTACGCAGACAGTGTTACTTACATCAAGTGCACGGCTGTGTGTTCTGGTCAGACGCCTGTTGGGTACTTCTGGTTGATAGGCCTGGCCTATGCGTAAAACATGACTGAGGTCAATCTTACTGCGCCTGTCCGCCAGATCAATTTTGAAGTTTAAATCTGAATCAGAATCCTGGAAGTAAAAACAAGTCTCTGAAATAGGGATCAAAAGTGAGTCAGCATGTACATGTACACGTATAGTAAAGCTTCATAGCCAAGCTTGATACATATATAGCTACACAATATACTGGTAAATAATTGTACATATCGTAGTGCCAGTACATGTACTGTATCATCTAGATATTGTGCATTCCAGCAGTACATGTAATTACAATGCACAATTGTAATTGCTCAATGCTCAACCTGAGTTTGAGTTTAACATAAATGGCAAATACATGTACATGTACATGCATATATACATGGTATATGTTACACTGCCTGTTTCCAATATAAACATACCGTATACACGTACGCGTACCTCTCTTTCTTATGTCATTACCAACATATATCGGTAAAAACAAAAAAGCTTGAATGAAGAGGCCACAATTGCATGTATATGTAAAAATGTCCGTGTCTATGTACACAAGTACTCTTACTTGTACTGAACATGCATTTCAAGCCAATGGCAAAAGTATATTTCAAAGGAGATACAAGTACTGTACAAGTAGCTACGTGTACATTGTGCATTACCTCCTTTACACCTGCTTTGCTGAACTCCAAGCTGTCCATGTCAAAGCCAGAATCATCATCATCTCCACTCTCCTCACTCTGAGCTAACTCCTTGAAGGCTACTGAACCTTCCACTGGTTCATCTCGCAAAGGACTGGTGTGCACCATTCGGCTAGGATCCAACAGGTCATATTCTTCCTCTTTTTTACCTGGTGGCAACTGTGGGATAAACTCTTTTACCGCAGGGGCCGGCCTTGGTGGTATTTTCGGTATGTGGCTGGGTGACTTCTCACTTGGTCTCACAACTGGTGGAGGAGGCGCTCGTCGGACTGGTTTCTGGGAATGCTGAGATCGTGGCAAATCTTCCTCCATTTGAAAAGCATCTCTTTCACCAGGCTTGTCAAGTGTGCTGGAGCTGAGTGGAACAGCAGGCAAAGGTCGTTCATCTGGATATATCTTTTCATCTGGAATGTCATGTCCACCACTCATTGCTTCACTCAGTAAAATGTAGGAATGCCTGTCAGAACTATCGCTGAGTCCTGACGGGGAGGCAGGTACAGGTACTTGTAAGCTTGACCAGGAGGTTACTCTTGACTCACCAACAACACTATACATGTCATCTTGAGTTGCAGATCCTATTGGAGATAGCCTCTCAGGTCCTGTGAAAGTAGGAGCAGCTTCTCCCTTTGGCTCCTGTCTTGGAGGAATCTGAGGTGGCCGAGTTGGAATTTGGGGAATACTTGGTGTTTCTTTCTTCTCCCCACTCACGCATCGCTGTGTAATTTTGGGTGAGCGATGTACTTTCGAGTACTGATCGTCAGGGTCATGCAGAACAGGAAGAAGTGGACTAGCAGTACTACGGGATGGCTTATCACTGTACTCAGTATCCAGGAAGGATTTTCGCTCATTTTCAGCTGGAACATTTTTAAAGGTGACTGCATTAGTTTCAAGGGAAGACAGGTCAATTAAGTCTGATGTCTTGTGGAAAAGACCAGCAGGCATACATGTAGGTTGATCAGAGCTGGTAATGTCTGGTGATGCTGCTGTGTCTCTATTGACTTTTTGCTCTGTGCCAGCAGGTATCCTGGGTGGTGGTGCTGGAGGCTTTCTCAACCCACTTTGTGAAACAACTGTAGTCGAAGTCAGCTCCCCTGACTGATGTGGAGTTAAACCCTCGCCAGCTTTAGTAAGTTCTGGCAAGGCTTGATATTGAGTTTCTAAGGGAGTATGGTCCTGGGGGATGGGTGGCATACCGGTAGGAGCTAGGACATCAGATGCAGGGGGCAAAGGAACCGGTCTGTTTAGTAATGACAGATTGGGAGCAGGTCTAGATAGATGTAAAGGAACTGGCTGTTCACTTTGAGAAGGCAACTCCTCCACTGGTGGGGGAACACTCAGTTGAGGCTTTGGGAACCTTTCTAGATCTTCCTGTGTGAGAAAGAGAGATGGAGGTCGCAGAGGGGGATCTACAGAAAAAGTACCTTCTGTGTTGTTTGTAAATGGATCAAATGCAAACGGATCCCTGGTTTCCTTTGCAGAATCAAAGATGTTTACGAAGTCTGTTTGGTGAGGCTGGGTAAAATCCGAATGTCCTGGAGTCTCCTCCTGCATTGGTGGGGGTGGGGGCAATTCAGCAGGTAATGGATCTGTTGCTAATAATGACTGAGGATGAGGAAGTGGTTGTAACTCTGAGGGTGACGGACCCGGTAGCAGTGAAGGAGGAGGGCGTGGGGGAATGATCGGTATAGATGACGTGGGTTCAGGCAGGAAAGGGACTGACGATGTGCCCCCCTGAATGCCGCTCATCTGAAATGCCTGGAGATGTCCAGGTGTCTCTTTTGATGGTAATGGAGGAGGGGGTACATCAGAAATGGGTGGGTGTTCTCCCAAGTGGGGTCGTGGAGGAATACTTGGAATGGTTGTAGGAACAGGTGGAGGAGGGAGGCTAGGTACATTGTCTTCCTCACTACCACATAATGATGGTGACTGGAAAGGAAGTACTGGTGGTGGAGACAAGAGAGAGTCTTTTGCAGGTGGTGGAGTACATTCCTCGGGCATCTGGAGTGCTGATTTTCTAGAATCTACCAGTATATCATCATTCAGGCTTCTTGGTTGAGACGACGGAGATTCCAAGTTTGGGGGATCTGGGGGTCTGCGATGGACAAGATGTGGGACAGGTGACACATTTCGCTTTGCAGGTGCTGGTGGCATTGCAGAGCCTGGAAAACTTTTTGGTGGCGGAGGAGGTGGCAATTCCGGGAAAGGTTCATCGATTGCATCTTGTGCAGATGACTGAGGAACAGCTTTTGGAAAAACTGGTGGAGGTGACAAAAAATTGGATGAATTACTTTCAGGTGGCTTAACACACTGACAAGGATCATCATCGTAGACATTTGGTTCTACAAATGAGGTTGGGAAAAGCTTTAAAGGTAAAGGCACTTGTGGTGCTGCCTGGGATGGGGCTACACGTGGAGGCACTTGAGGAGTTGGTTGAAGCTTTGGGGAAGGCCTCTCAGGATTCTCATCACGGCCAGGTAAAGGGGGTGGTTTGGCTCCCAAACTAGGATCGGATCTTGCTCGAGGCTGCGGTGTAGGCCTCATCCTGGCTTGATTGTTGGGAATCTCAGAAGACAATGCCATCCCTTTGCCCTGGCTACCAGGTGCTCGTGGTGGTGGGACAGGGACATGCTTAAAGTCACCCAAAGACGTTTGAGAAATGCTACCGGTAGATGGCCGATCTGAATCTGAGTGTGGCCTACTTGGAAGAAAGAGGTAACTTTCATCATCAAACGTTGGCTTTCTTCCCGTCGGATGTCCATTTTCTTTTCCCACCTGTTTAACAGCACTCCTTCGAGGAGGCATTGGGGGTGGGGCCTCTCCTGATGTGTCCTTACCGTCAGTGCTCAATTTCTCTGAGCCAGTTACAAATTCTGACAAGAAGGCCTCTGCCTCCGAAGGTAGGTGGTTTAGAATTCTCTTCTGATATCCTCGCTGTGTTATTCCAATCAAACTGAGCTGATCTTCTGTGATGTGACACACTTGGTGGAGTTCTGTTAGACCATTCAGGAGGAAGTGGTTGGTGAAATTTCCTAGATCTAATGACTCAAGCCAGTCTTGGATCGAACTCGTCTGTTTCTTTGCTGCCATTTTAGGAAAAGGGAGATTTTTCCCTTTGTTATTGTGGCAAATCAAGCTCTCCCTGTTTTGATGTTCAAATCTCCAGTTTCCAAGGTGGTGGGGAATGTACCGGTAGTAGGCTTTTATTTTCAGTTTCAGAGGAAGTATCTTAGGTACAAGCAGACATGCGTTGCAGATGTACTTAGCAGAAATGATTTTCTCCTCTACTGTTGCTTTTGAAGTTTCTTGCCAGATTGACCAAAATCATTTTCCTATCATGTTTCTTGCAAATTTCCCATCTGGAATAAAGGAAACAAAAACAACAATATTATGACAAATATGTACATGTAATTCAGTGGAGAGCAAGAATGTTTCTGGGCTAGGTGAGCAGGGATAATCAGACAATAATGATAAACAGTGTCCTGACACCAGTAAGGATGCATACGTGTATACCAGGGTAGATCTTTCCTATTCTTATTATTATCGTTTAATAATAATAGTGTCTTTATTTTCAATATTACTGCTACATGCACCTCCCCAACATGTACTGTGGTACATGTACATGTATCTAGGATTTTAAGAGGAAACAAGATATTTTCCCACTTCTTTTTTTCAGATCCCCTGCTGTACATGTACTGTATACATGTACATGTACGTACCGGTACATACACCTTACATGCATGTACATGTACATGTACGTACCGGTGTGTACACCTTACATGCATGTACATGTACTGTACATGTACCAGTCCATCATGTCCATTGTACATACCGGTATGTGTCAAATAAAGTTTATTAGCCTTCGATGTCAAATAAAGCTCAGCGCCCTTGGCTTTGCCTCGGGTACTACTGGTACATGTATGTGTCCCAACGGTTTTCAAAACATCTATCCCACATTAAAGCAGTCAGTTGTTAAGAGTGTTACATACATGTACAGGTACACGTACATATATGTGCCATGTACATGTATCGGTACCATGCTTACAGTGCATTTTACACATTCATACAGCATACCGGTACCTTCAAGGACTCCCACAGACTATACAACTTACCTCAGACATGTCAGAGGATGTACATGTACATGTAGATGAGTGAGGATGAGGTGAATCTTCTCTACAGATGTACTGTACATGTACATGTCAATCCTAACATACTGGTAGGTCCGAGTAAAGTTTCTCAAACTGAACCAATTAATCAACCTACCGGTACAAGTACTAATTGATTGACATTCCCTGTACACATGTATTGCACATACGGTACAAGTGGACATACATATACATGCTGTGTGAACTTTGCTTGCTACGGTATATGGCAATCTGCATGTAAATCAACAAGGAAGTTCTTCCAATTTATGACGCATAAAATATTTCTTGTGGTTGAGGATATTTATTGCGACAGGAATCTGGGATACATGTAAATGTATACATGCACAGCTGTGTGTCATACATGTACATGTACACTGTACATGTAAAAAAGGTACGCTGTATGAATGCATGAATAACTTTATGGGCCAATAATTTACATGTACACATGTAGCCTTTCAGCGGATTGCAGAAAGGAATTATCTTCCTTTGAAAAGGAATTGATTTCTAAAAGAAAATGACCATCCATTACATGTAGAATGAAATGATAAACTTGAAAACTGAAGTGGAGTAATTTGACATGTTACTGGTAGCTAGTTATTAAATATACTGAAAATGTACACAGTACGGTTTGAATTGAGTTAAAAAGTGACCAAAAGGGGAAAATGGTGTTCGATGAAAATCACTCATGTTCAGGTACTATACATGTACATGTACCTGTACCAATGCTACACACGTACTGTACATGTACATGTATGTACATGTAGCAAACACAGAAATCCCTGAAATCCATACTTAGTAAACGGTACACACACACACACCCTGGTACCATACAAGTACATGTATTTGCACTATTTGAACTATGTTTGATATCAGCTAATATCCTGTTATTCAAAACAACTGGTCGTGGGTTCTCAATTGTGGTTTCCTTTGAAATACACTGAGTGCAACAGAATTTTGCCAATACTCATGACAGATGCTGCTTGTGTCTCTCTATTTATAAATTGAAGCCTGACCCCCACAGGAAAATACACATCATAAGCACACCATGGAATCATCAACATTGCGTAGCCCAGATGTAAATATCATGGTGTATAGAAAAAATGCACATAGTACCAATACAATAAAAACTGGTTGAGTATAGACAGTGACTAAACCACTACACAACTGTTCCCCACATGGTTTTGATGATCTGTAAATGAGCACTTGAGAAAAAAAATTACATAGTTTGCCCTATTAGAAGTTGAACATCAGACTGAAATACACACATGTACATGTATGGCTGCTTCAAAGAAAACAATTAGGGCCCTACATGTAGAAAAAATCACACAAAAATTACATAGGTGTGTCAGATGATGACACCATCATGAAGTCACTTCATTTTTCATAGAAGTTAAAAGAACACATAGGCCTACATGTACATGTACATGTATCATGTTGCACCTATCAGGTTTTAGGACAAAACTGCAGATTTTCTTATACATTTGGCAAAACAATCCCTACAATTTCAGTGACTTCAAGATGTGTACATGCAAACTACTTTATACTACTAAAAAGTATTAACCCAACACCCAAAGGTGTGCATGAGTTTGTTTCTGTATTCAATTGGGGACCCTGAACAATAGAGGACAATGAGGTCCCCGACTGACAGAGGGTCCCCGATTGACAACTGTGTACAAAACATATCGGTGGTCTTCTAAAAAGTTAGAGTACAAACAAAAGAGGAACAATAGGGGGTCCCCAGTTGCAGGCAAATGTACATGTACATGTATGCAGTCCCTGAGTAGAACTCCCTCCCCCTCCCATGGGATGCCCAACAGCAACATGTCCAGACAGTTTACTGGGGTACTCCAGCCAATCACACATCCAGACTTGACCAGTGATTGTGAAAGTTGAGACCTTGTGGTTTCATTTTCAGGATAAATGTTATACATTGCTATTGAAAATAGATACCAGTAATATCCACTTATAATTATTGGGAGCTTGAATGAATCCAGTTTGCCATTTGTGATTAGTGTTGATAAACAAGACCACAGCTGCAATGAGTTTCACACAACCTTGGTACCTCTTGAAGTGGTAAAACATTCAATTAAGGCTGTAACATAATCATGTTCCTTTAACCCCAACAGTCCCAAATCCCCCTTCTGATTTTAATGTGATTTTACACCTACACGTACACATGTACATGTATACACATGTACATGTACATGTACACTAGCTAGTACCACTGCGGTACAAAAGCGAATGTCCACGCTATAGTAATATGGACATGTGTGCAATTGCCAGTTTACGCAACACAATATAACAAATCAATGCACTGTAAACTTGACTACATGTACATGGGTACGACCAACAGATGCCACTAAGAATCAGGGCAATATGTTTGAAAGTCGGCCTACATGTACTAGTATGTGAAATTATACACAATGTACTATACATACATGGACACAATCATGTCAGCACAACAGTTCAGGCTGACCAATTCGAATGACTGAATATTTTCTTACCATTCAAACAAATATCCAAATATTCGGTGAAATACGAGTATCAAATTACCAAAAAAAGCAAGGAACAAAATTCATGAACATGTATGTAGCACATACATACTGGTAAACATGTTTTACAAACAGTCAGAGAGAGAAAACTAGAAGGCAAAGTAATTTTGGGGCCTTCATGCTGAGCAATTCCGTGTACCTTTAAGGGAACTCCTCACACCTTAATACATGCTTTAATGAACAAAAATGATTGTTCCGTTTTTATTTCATTGATCTTCCAATCTGAATATTTGATGTTAAAAACAAATATTTGAATATTCAGCAATCAATCACTTTGAATGTTCGGACAACCAGCACAGCCCTACAGTGCAGGATGTGTGTTTTATAAATGTACAGTGATAACGATCTACGACAGTTTACTTTAGACAACAAGGAAATGAACGCAGATCATTTTTAGTGGCCTGCTTCCTCTATTCTTACTGGCTGAGATAATTCTTGCTGCAATGAGTGTTCAAATTTCAGAATCTGAGTGTTCAAGCTTTGCTTAATGTGCAGGTACATGTACACGTACATGTACAGTATGAGTAGAATGACCAGTCTACGGTATTGTTACTTTTAAAATTTTGCCATTTAAGGAAATGTTAAACTCAAAAACAAAGGTTTCAGAAAAAACTCCACTTCCTCATGATACCATGTTTGAGGAAACATGAAAACAACCGATACAAGTTTACATGTACAGTATGTGAATTTCAACATTCCATACAAGTTAACTGTGCCAGCAACTTGTATGCAAAAAATGTAAACACAACCAAGACGTTAAACTTCAGGCGTCAAAAATGCAGTCAGTACCATGGAACAAAATGCCCGCCTTTGTACTACTTGTACATGTACATATACATGTACACACTGTGTACATGTACATGTACAAAGAAAAAAATATAGGGCCCTACATGTAGAAAAACACACACAAAAATTAGGTGTGTCAGATGTGAAACCATCATGAAGTCACTTCATTTTTCATTCTTAGAAGTTAATAGAACACACATACCGGTACATGTATACATGTACATGTACACACATGTACCGGTATATCATGTTGCACCCATCAGGTTTTAGGACAAAATTGCAGATTAAAAAAATCCCATCAATTTCAATGACTTCAAGATGTGTACATGTATATTATTATTATTATTATGAATGGTTTATTTATTTTAACTGTATTCCTTGCCGCCAGGGGCAGAATTGTGAATACAATTTACATGTACATTAAAACAAATAAATATACAATAATATGTACAATTACAAAAGAAAAGGGTATTCAAAAACTAAAAGCGTTAAATTTCTAAAAAGCCTTGGAGTAAACAGGGACATTATGATCAATAATACATTCTAAAAGGGTTAAAATTAAAAAAATTGAATCAACGGAAATCAAAATTTGTTTACAAACATTAACAAAGTACTTGGACAAAAGGGTGAAAATACAGAAAGGGAAGAGGAAACAAAACATATAGGGCTAAGGAGGGTCAAAAAGGGGAGGGGGTAAGGGGTAGGGGGTCAGGAGGAAGAGCGGTCAAAAGGAAGAGGAGGGGGATCAAAACACACAATATTACAAAGGGAACATTAGATAGGGAGGACAATTACGACGCAGGAACCACATTATCATTTGTATTCAAAGCATTAAAAAATGAACCAGAGCAAGTAAACGATAAGGTCTGATTCTATTATTGGCAGGGCAAATAAACTCAACATGGAGCTAATAGGTTTAGTCAGACACACTGTTAAGCAGCTTTATCAATCCTACAAGAGGGCTGTTCTGATACCTCCTTGTACGACAGAAAGGCACTGTTATAGTTGTAAAATTTCTTAACTGACGACCATGTGACTGATGACGAGTCAGAGGAAACTACTGTATACTGTTCAAAAATATTAACCCAATGGGCCATGGGTGTAGGTGTATAATCATATTAAAATCAGAAGGGGGATTTGGGACTGTTGGGGTTAAAGGAACATGATTATGTTACAGCCTTAATTGAATGTTTTACCACTTCAAGAGGTACCAAGGTTGTGTGAAACTCATTGCAGCTGTAGCCTTGTTTATCAACACTAATCACAAATGGCAAACTGGATTCGGTCAAGCTCCCAATAATTATGGATATTACTGGTATTTATTTTCAATAGCAAAGTATAACATTGATCCTGAAAATGAAACCACAAGGTCTCAACTTTCACAATCACTGGTCAAGTCTGGATGTGTGATGGGCTGGACACGCTGTACTGGTAATTGTCTGGACATGTTGCTGTTGGGCGGGGGGGGAGTTCTACATGTACATGTAGCCTTTATGTTAACCAAACAATACTGAATAATGAAATGTACATAAATACATGTATATGTACATTGGTATAGTGACACTGTCTCTGGACATTTCTGATGGCCTCCTAGAATAGTGAAAAGTAATTGTATTGGGATATGGCATGTTCTTCATAAAATGGACCGAAATGCAACCTCGGCTGTCATTTTTCAAAACTTCTTAAAGAGTGACTTTGATCATGTAAAATACAAATTAGCACCTTCAGATTTATAAAAATGATTACATTTGTATATGGGGATAATTAGGCATAATACATGTATGTACTTATGGTGGACATTTGGTTGGCTACCAGTGCAAATCAAATGGAGTTGAATTCATTTAAAGTTTTACGTCAGAGTGTTTACACCGAGGACTTGATTTCAAAACTTCTCTAAAAAAGGAGAATTCAGTATATTTTTCGACTTTTAAAAAATATAAGCCACAAAAAAAGAGCACAAAATGGACGGAAAATGATGAGAAAAGTTTGGCTCTCTTCATTCTCTTAGCGTTTCTAATCACTCTCACAATACCAACATATTTGCCAGGTCTAGTACATGTATTTTTTGACCACCAAAAATTATCTTTAAGTTTGGCTGCATCAAAAAATTGCAATGAGTGCAATATGTTCGTTGTGAACGTTACATTTGACAGAATTTTGATCGCGTTCGATAATTTTGACAGAAACTACATAACGTTCAAGAATGCCGAAAATGCGCGATTTTCATTTTGCCGGTTATTTTGGAGATGAATCCACTGAAAATAAAATTAAAATTCAACTCTGAGCATTAGATTAGCATTAGATTTTCATCAAGAATCGCATTTTATGTCTCACATGTTATTTTTTGCGAACGTTACTCAGAATGACGGATTTTCTTTTGAGAAAAATTGTTCCGAAGAGAAAAATCGCAGAGCGTTGCCATTCCGTGAAGGGGTTCATGAATATCGAATAAAAAAGAGGGCGCACTATCTGGGTTGATGTCAGAGGTCAAACAGGCCATGATGCAGCGAAATGTTTCTCTAACGTCACCGCGAGAGATTGATGGAAGCCGCAAAATCGCCACGATCGGTATTTTGGACTGCGGTTTTCGAGAACATACTTGAAGAAAATGTGATCGGTCCAGTCGTAAAAGAATGATGGTTTGGCGGTGCTTTTTTGCACTCTTTTTTAAAGCTTGTGTTGTACATAGATACATGGATTTTACTCGCTTTTTTTGCAGTCGATTTTTTTGACACTTATGACAGAATGGAATGACATTCGTGACTGCCGACTTTGGGACCCGATTAATTGTGAGAGGTACATGTACTTTTTACTTTCGTGATTATGGTTTTAATATGTGTAAATATTATCACCTTTCACCACATACAAATCTGTGTAAAATAACCTCGGGGATTATCACTCCTCAGTAAATTCTATTGACTCGGATTTTAACAGGGAGTTCATGTCCCTCAAAATTGCTAACGTTCGAGACTTTATTTAATTAACTCCAATTAAGTTGAAAGGTTGACACGGTCATCATTGTTCTAGATATCAGCCATGACTTGAAATCGAAAGATATGGGACTGTGAGGGATACCCTAACAGTCCCAAATCTTATACTGTAGCTACCGGTACACATGTACATGTACATGTGTGTATTAACAAATCAACTGACAATATCATCAATTACAATGTCACGCCTGTTGTCATCCTTGCACTATGCACAGTATCTGGGAACAACACATGTACACTAATGTACATGTACATGAACAAGTTTTACCAATGAATACTGAACAATGCATGCCTTGTAAGCATGTCATTAAAAATTCACAATTTCAATGACACCTCAAAAAAATTGGAAATACATATCTTTGTCTGCGCGCCAAAACAATGCAATATGACATCAAAGTTTTATCAGAAATATGGAAAAAGGTATTAAAACACGTTTAAAATGGCAACACTTTGGCATGAAGAGCACTGGGCCCAATTTCATGGCACTGCTTAGCGCAAGCAAAAAATCGGCGCTTACCGCAGCAGGAAATTCTGTGCTTACGGTGAACGTATTTCACAGGTTAGCAAGGAATTTAATTTGGCTTGTGCGCGCGCATGCATACATGTACATCGACCCGCAAACTAAGGATTCTGTGCTTTTTTCTGCTAGTGTGGTTATCGCAGAATGGTGATTGTAAAGTATGGAATTCCGCGGTAAGCAGTGCCAGGAAGTTGGGCCCTAAACATCTTGACAGACAGGCATGTTGAGAATGTCCAACTTGAGTACTGCTACATGTACATGTACATGTATACAATACCATGGGTACAGTACATGAACAATACGCACGTTTGTAAACACATTTCTACTTGAAGTATGTCTAATCACGGAGCTATGTACATGTACTGTACATGTACATTGTACCATGTACCAGTATGTAACTCCATTATCTACATGTACATGTAACTACATGTACACCATGGATGTTCATGCATATACACATGAACATATGCACGTACACATACATGTACAGCATGTTCCTCCTCATTCAAAGTACTCAGTCAACATTCATGTAGCTCTGATGTTTAAAAAAAAGACAAGAGTTTTAAACACAAGCACATGTATATTGAGCATATGGTGCATGTACATTGACGGTACCAACTTTCATGACTTTGAATTATTTTGCGGCTTGCAAAACATCTTGAAAGCAACACCGATTCACCTGTTCACATGCATGGTTTAATTTTTTTTTTCATAATCATGAGTAATAATCTAAATACAAATTACAGCACATGTGACCAGGTGCGCATGTACCGGAACATCTGAAAAGGGCAAGTTTGAAGCATAGAAGACGATGCAATTCACTCTTCATACCTACCGGTATTCTATTAAATGTCATTGACTGACATGGAGTTCATGGAGACTCAACATTTCAAAGGAAAGAGTTTCATACACAGACATCATAAACTTGACACTTGACACCTTGGGCACAAACCCAATGAGACTGGTCAGAAAAATTCTAAATGGTTTCAGAGTAAATACTTTTGGTAATACTCGCCCAGCTAAATTTGACTTTGTAGGATGTAGTCAGTATCCGATGGCTGATTTACCACTGTAAGAAAAAATTAGTGATGCCTGTCTATGAATCTCCTTTTCAAAGTATTGGCTAACAAAGTTGAAACTGTTTTTCTGACCAAAGGCAAAGCTTGAGCACTCCACATCTTGGCTCCACCATTTTCAGTGACGGGGACAGCATCTTGTCATTTTCATTGCATGCCCTGATCACGTGACCGTCCTTACATACATGTACATGCTATGACCTGTAAGTTGATACCATCGGCCCGACGCATACGCAATGTGATAAACACAAATGGCATGAATGGAACGATCGTCGTTGGGTAGAACCGAGAGGTTGGTGAGTAAAAATCTCATTCACTTAGAAAAATACTTGGTCATGCTCTGAAATCTTTGTTCCACTCCTTTAAAGAGCTATACTTAAGGTTACTCAAGTTTGCTGTGGAGGGAAAATTTGGTTGAATACGTGTAGCTTTGTTACACCTGTGGATCATTCACTTTTCCAGTTTGATTTTAAAAAAACCACAGCGTTATGAATCCATGTAAACTACACTGGCTCAAAGTCACACGAAGTATGACGAAGTAGTGACTATGATTCTCAAAATACTATGTACATACATACATGTACATGTATATATCCTCTTATCTACAATCATGTACAAGATTAATGCACCTGTACATGTAGGCTACTCCCTCAAACTACAGTACATACATGTACAGTGTACATACATTGGACTCATCATGCTCATTCACACATTGTATTAACCCTAACCCTCCTCAATCCTTCACCTGTTGGAGGACTGAGGAGTGTTAGGGTTAACTTTGTACAGTGTGTACATCCACTGCCTAGTATGTATCCATGTATGTACGAGTACATGTAGATGTAGAAGCATAGCAAATTGAAGTACATGTAGGACCTAGACGACAACATCCATGTGAAGCTAGTGTCTCCAATTGGTTTTCACAGTTGGCATAGACCTAATAAGTGGCAAAATAAGCCTTTATAAAATAAGTGACCTATACAGTCAAATACATGTACGTTAGATATTTCTGGGTAAGTACTATTTAACTTTACTGCTTACCTGTTTCACTTTTATTTTAAATAGGTCTTATTTATGATTCACTCAACGATGACTCAACACGCTGCCCGATAAAGACATAATTCTAATAATATTAAGGCTACGGGCCAGCCATGCCAGCTTAGTCATGGTTTGCAATGCATAGGCCTATGCCTAGCGGAAACTTACCAAGAGCAGGAGCGTTAATCCGGATTCGACTGAATTTATCGCAGAATGAGTGGTCTATGCTGTCAAATTCAGTGGAAAATGAAGTTGTATTTTTCCATCCACAAACATGGCAAAAGTGTTTATCCGGATACATCTTTCATACATGTACAAATGTACTTCCGCCTTCTACCGTCTTCCTGGAACTGTGCAACAGGCTATCGATATAGCGCCCTCTGTTGGTCAATGGCTTTCAGACATGACGGCGGCGGAACTTTCGAGCAGGGAAAGTCGAACTTTTCTTTACGTTTTTTTTGCGTTCGTCGTGCGCATGAACGGTGGCCTGTCTTTTATAGATTCAGTGTTCGTATGCAGTAGAAGCCCCCCCCCCAACTTTCGTTTTTTTTCCCAAAATGCAAAAAAGAAAAAAAGAAAAAAGGCTGGAAAATATTGGGTTCTCAATATTGCATTATTTTTTTTAAATTAAATGAATATATAGTCCACGATCAATTTTTTTTTCGACTCCAAAAGTGGACAGCAGCAGCGAAAATTAAAAGGTTACTACATCAAGTGCGAAAGGTATACCCCCCCTTAAAAATGGCTTAAGAACCATGCCAGTGGCTAGCAGTAAAATTCTGCTGTTTAGATATTATTTCACGTGGCCATAGATTTTATACAAAGTTAGAAAAAAATTCATCATCAGAGTTTGAAAAGTTTGTTGATCAACCTAATATCAGCCTTACTAGCTCACTGCTTAAACCACTCTCACTGTTAGGGTTACATTTTTCAGTAGGGTAGTCTTATTCTTTTCTTTCGTTCTTGGGGGTGATAGCAGATGTTTCATTTTTTGTATTTATGGCCGCACAAACGTTGTACTACACTCAAGCGCAGCTATTTGTGTTTTATTTTAATTATTTCTTTTAGGCTTGCAACTACAGTACACTGAAAAACCATTAACAAAAGAGGGTTTAAATGTGTCTGATGTAAGATGAAACAAAAGGACAGACAAGGTTTTCTCATTCCAAGTGTTTTATTAAAATGCTCAGTTTCATTTTGTGTTTCACATAGAAACTTATCAGGTATTTTCCTCAAATTTACAAAACAAAACACCACAGGCTATTAAACTATGGTTGCGTCAGTTCCATTTTTTACACATACATATCCACTTCAAAAATCTGTGGAAGAAACAACATTCGTGTCTTCCATAATTTAAAGAATTACCCTTTGTTCTGAGTCACATTTCCTTCACAATCTATACATGTATCAACAGATGCATTAAATCTGGACTATGTGCATTTAGGAAAGAAGATAGTCAGAAATGACTTGACGAATTGTCAACACCGACTTTTGTACATTTGCACACAGTTGGAAATGCTAGTCATATGCAGAGAATACAAAAACAATTGCACAAAGATGTCTGAATAATATTTACTTCTACAACATTGTTACTCATGGTACTTTCTGAAGTTTTAAACAATGCTTACACAAACTGGAGGTTTTAGCTTTAAATGTTGACGCAAGTTTCTCAGAGCTGATGTGGAAAGCTTTCCCTCGGTGTAAACTTAGGAGCAATTTCAAATTGAAAAAAAACATTAATTAAGTTCACATTTGTGTGAAGTGTTTGATGCACTTTCATTATCACTTGGAGACATTATCATAGCAAGTCATCCCATGAAACTGGACATTCTTTTCAACTTAATGACATCTAGTTCCTTTTAATCACAAATCAACAAGAAAAAACATTGCTTTACAAATTGCTGATAAGAAATCAACGATACACATGTACACTTGCAACTTGATATCTTTATCATAACTGTAATGTGGGGATCACATTTATAGACCTTCAAGTGAAATGCAGTAGTTTGTGACAGTATATTCTTAAAAGAGTACTCACTCCGGACGTAGATCTCTTCCACAAGAAATTATCTCACACTTGAAATGTTCCTGTTCCTTTTTCATTCCTCAGAAAAGGGGGCTTTATGACATGTTTCTAACTACACTATGAGCATTTTTTGAAACGACTGAATTCGGCTTAGACTTAGACTTTGGTTTCACTGGTTCCAGCTATTTTGAAGCAGCGTTGGAAACCACATGTTCAAGCTCTGACTGAAACCAGTGAAGCTGAAGTCTAAGCCGAATCAACTCATTTCGAAACATTCTATGAAAGGCTGCTGTGTCCGCAAATGGGTTAAGCATTCCTACTTGGGACCATCTAGTTTTCTGAAGGTGGTCTAATTGTGAACAGCTTGGAACAATCACACCTTCCCAATTTTCAGGTACTGCAGTGAGGCTACAGGAAGAAAAATTCACCTCTTTAAACTGTAAAGATAAGAATCTCTGCAGTCCTAAAATTTGAATGGTTAAGCAGTGACTACAGTATGCAAATAATTATGTCTGCCAAGAAATGTTTCCACTCTGCAAAGGAAGGAAAAAAGTTGATCCCTCTAGATCCAGAACTGTTTCAAGAGGTCTACCATTCAACCAAGAGTTTAGGAAGTTCCTATCAGTTCATGGCACCCATTCAGGATGGATGGTGAAGTCGGTGCGTATGTGTTTTGGGTGTATCTTGTGATGTACTTTGCTGTAATCGGTGATGTGGAAATGAGGTCCGCTCATAGGAAGAGGTCGGGGTGCACTCTCAAGACTGTCAAATAATTTCTCGGCTGCTTTTGACTCTGGAATCAAAAAGAACAAGAAATTTAAAATGATTTAAGACAGTTATCTTTTTACCCAATGTGCATGCCAAACGTTTTGTATGCTCAACAGTAAGACCACTTGTGTTGTGGTCAATTCCCTACAAGTCCATCCCAAGTAATCACTCTCAAGTCACAATCTACATGTACACTGTATTCATTGTTCACCCTGTTATGTGATTGGTCATTGGCAGGACTTGTGACAAGATGAGATGGACTTGATACAGCACTGACGATTTTTACGATGTTCTTTTTTCGAGTTCTCAGTTAAAAAGCCAATGAACAAAGAGGTCAGAATACTGTTCAGAACCAAAAGCATACCTTCATGGCCGGCTCCTTTCAGGAAGCGATGAACGGATGCTTGATATGGTTCCCTGACTTGCTCAGTCACATTTCTCGTAGTTCTATCCTGTGGCTGTCTATTCGACACTTGAGTGGTTGCACGAGCGCTATTAACCATTTTCTTCACAGCTTTCCTGTCTGTAAAAAAACATGAAAAAAGTCCATTATTTTCTTTGATAAAAGTCTTAAAACATGAGCTTTTTTGACGACAAAAAAACAGTACAGGGTTGAAGTAGAGTACGGGAGGTTATGAAAAAGGTCAACAGACCTTACTGCATGTACATGTAGTACATGGATCATGTAGTTAGAACATTAAGGAAAAAAGTCTAGTGGCAATGCCTAGACACTGCTCTACGGCTCTTTATATTTAGGGGCAAGACAGCTTGTTTCATGTCTGTCACATATGGCATGGAGCTAACCCAGCCTGTTTAAAAGCTCCACAGTCACAAATACTTTTATAGAGCTTGTCTTCCTCAGGATTTCAAAGGACTTCCAAGGCACAGATCAGAGAAGCATTTGACTCAAGAATGTTACTAATTTTTGTACATGTTAAGGGTTTCCTACTCTTGTACTCTTGTGATTTTACGTCTGCTTGAAAAAAATTCCCACTGTCGGAAATGTTTACTTAAATGAAACAAATCCCTGGAACAACTGTTTGTGTTGGCTGTGTGAATTTCCATGACTGCCGGTAATTCCTGGTACAAACAGGAAAGCGATTCAGAGTAAATGTGGAATATGCATAAAGGCACAAACCACAAAGCTACATGTAACTTAAGCAGTGGCAGATCCATTACATGTATTCATAAAATGCGGTACGGGAGCGATCATTCACACAAAAAGGGGAGAAGAGATGAAACCATATGTGGCATGAGTGGGGCAGTTTGTAATCAAAACCAAGTTGAGAGCAAAAGAAAAAAATGTGCGCCCTGAAAAAACAGAAAGAAGGAAAAGGGGTGGGGGCGGAGGAGGGAACCGAGAGAGCGTTAATGGATGAGCAGTTGGCATGCTCCACATGAATGGGACCAGGCACATTTACACAGTATGTACTAGAACTGGGATTTCACAAAGGTCTACGGTGAACGCTCTAAGACGTTAGTAAACCTAGTAATTCAATTCGAACCATTGAACCTCTACAAGTGGTTGAGGTTTCGTTGATGAGTGGGCATGATACAAGGTACTGCCCTACTCAATTTCTGCATACATGTACCAGTAATACTGACAAGCCTGAGGGCTCGGTTACTTCCACTGAGCCAGGCCAGGGGGGCAATTTGAATCTTTTGTCACATCAATGGACAGAGGAAATTCTTTGAGCCTGGGAAAGTAGAGTGTGGCTGATTGTATGCAATCAAATATTTACTCTGAACCGAATTTAAAGTGATGGCAATGTGCCTGTAGTGTTTGTTCTTAACTCTGTCTGCTTATTGAATGTGGGTTGGCTCCATTAAGGAACCCTCAAAATTTAGCCTGCCACTGACACAAACATGGCTAGGCCTGGGATGCTTGCTTGGGGTGTGGAGTGCTCGAGAATAGGAAAAAATAGGAATCTTGCAAAGCATGTCAAGAGATCATTCTTTTTTCAATGGACAATGGCCCAACACATGACCAGATGGTATACACGTACATGTAAATACATTTCTTCTGAGGAGCAAGTAAAAAGTTTCATGAGAGGAAGCATGATGCAGAATAGAGTTACACAAGGCAGGAAAATAACTAAGCAACTTTGAACATGTAGAGAAGCACCGGCAAAGAATAAAGAATAGGATTCATGGACGAAAACCACAATGCAAACCAATTCTGTCACATCTTGGTCAGTTGGTAATATCCGTACTCTACACACTTACTTGTGCTACCGGCTAGTTTCAACCAGGCCTCAGCTGCCTGTGCTGACCAAGGATCTGAGATCACTCTTTTCATCTTCTCACGCTGTGTTAAAATCAAAGAAACAAATGCCAATGATGACTGCGTCAATCAGTTAGATCACTGACAGAAACTGATCATCGCTTACATTTGGTTAGTTGTTGAAATGATCAGTGCACAAAGGACGCAACAACAAATACTTAAAGCCTCCTCCCTCTAGAAAGACAATGAAAATATTTGCCGAACATTGAGCAGCATGTTTCAAATGCTACGCCTGAAAATTTTAGTATTCTATACTGACACGTACATGTAGTTTGACGGGTGAAAATTGGAAAGTACATGTACATGTACCTGACAAGTCTGTTAACTTACATGTATCTGCAGACAGGTTTCAGTATCAAAAAAAGGCAAAGCGTTTTTAGTAAAATAAAATAGTTCTTACAAATTAAAATAATTCTGAACACTTGCACTGTTGGTCAGTTTGTATTCATGAATAGGAAGTGGCAAACAAGTTAAGTTATATAAGGAAACATTGAATGCCTGAAATTGTTAAGACATAACCAGCATATTAGTGACAGTTTGGGAATTTACATGTACTGTACTTCATTTCTCATGCATGAATATGATTGCTACCTCTTCGTCTCTGTATGTCATGACGTTTGCTGTGCTTGGTCGACCAATGTATTTATGTCTCAGATGGCGTCTCTCCTCCTGTTCCCATGCAGGACACAGAGCATCAACTGTTGACAACATTGGGAAAAATGATTGTAGACACTAATGAATATTGAACATTAATACTCAAACTCTATGAATGGTGTAGCAAGGTTACTTGTTTTTATCAATACAGCCATAATGACAACAGTGTAACAATGAAGTGAAAAAGTTATTAACCAAGAAATCACTTTTTGTGAGTACCTGGTGAGTTCCTCTGCCACTTAAGAACAAAACAGAAAAGAAAGGCCATTAGAACACTGAACCTGAATTTTAATCTAAGTCTTAATGATGGTAGAGATGGTTCTCTTAAGTCTTTTCCCTTTAGTTACTACTAATCAGGGGTGTGAGTGGCTACTTAAAATTAAAGCTGACTGAAATAGCTAGCGAAAAGCTGAAATGCAAAAAGTTCCCATACATGTACTTTTGTACAGACCAGACCTGTGCCCAAAAAAAATGGAAATTCAGGGTCAACATCTAAACAAAAAAGCTGAAATCAGCTAAAAAGCTGAATTCTCACACCCCTGACTAATACAGTACCACTGCTCCTCCTCCTACATATTCACCTAGATACACCTCTTCTTTGATTCTTGCATCAGGATTCTGAAAGCCTTGCACAGCACCAATCTCTTTGCCCATAGCCGCTGAGGGATCATAATACCCAGGGACTTTGTGAAGTCTGCATGTCAGGAACACACTGCAAGGAAATCCAAGGAGTACATGTATGTGTCTGGTTTCGTCATCTACAGCATTTATGTACGGTACATGTGCTAACAATATTTGAGTGCAAATGGCAAAAGGTGGCAGTTTGGTTCAAAACTCTTCATAATTTCTAAAACATTTGTGAAGGGACAGCACAGCTGTTCATTGATTAGTCTTATACTGAAAACATGATTGGAATGAGGACACACATGTACAAGTACACATGCGGTACATGATTTTTGTATTCAACCAAAGCCTCCAAACTTTAAGTTATTAACTAAGCTGACATTGTGCAGTAAGTAGACCATCACTTTCCTATCAAATTGTGCAGTGCCAAATACATGTAATTTGCTTAATGTCAACTTTACACACGGCTCGATGTTAGCATTCCCAGCTTTACGAGTATTCAACCAAATGAGAGATGTATGTGTGCCAGTATGTGGACACCACACTGCAATTTATAACACAGAACCTGTGTCCAATATCGCCATTATACTCAAGAGTGAGAGTTGGCTGAGAACGTAAAAACCTCTCTCAGATAAGCAGATCTGCTTAACCCATCTCACTGAAGACAAGAAGAGACAGTTGTTTGCAAATAAATAGGGTCCTTTGGGGCCATGGATAAAAGATTAAAAGAAGTTTAACACAGAGCTAAATCCTCAAGAAGTACAGCTGAGCCAATCTTAGAAAATCTCTGTGGATTCCAAGGATGCTGTAGAAAACTGATGTGCAGCCTCTTTTGAAGTGATGCAAATAGCATTTAGGCAAACATTTTGTGAAGCCCGGGAAACACCTCTCCTTAGAAAGAGATTTCTGAGGATGCTTAACCCTAACAGTCCTCAGTCCTCCAACAGGTGAAGGATTGAGGAGTGTTAGGGTTAATCTAAAAAAAAAAGATGAATTGAATCTTGCAAAAACTTACGTACAGAACCAAAGACTTCCAAATACATCCTCCTCATATGATTCATAACCGTTAAATAAAGGGTGAGAAGCTTTGTGGCAGTAATTGGCTCTAAGACAGTATTGATTGTTGTAGGGAAAAAATGTATAGCCCTCTCATCAGTCACTGTGAAACCGCCCTCAGCAAATGTAATAAACCACTTCAGATGCTGTAGCTATGGTTATAAGCCCTCAGTGAGGATTAGCATGGACAATAGGATTCTTTCTCCTTTTCATTCTGAAAATTGTCCACCGCTGAACAAATTGATTTGCTTGGGAGTAAACAGGACTGGAGTCACGAGGAGGATGAAACAACTTGTGGATTACAGATCCATGTTGGCAAAGCAGGCTTAAAGCATTCTTGAAGTTTGGATGGACACATCCCTGGAGCTACTGCTCCTGATCAGAGTCTTTCCACAATGCTGGATCTTTCAACATGTACATGTATACCAGTACCAAACTTTATACGCGTCTTCTCAGTTACTGATTGGCTGCTCACAGCTCTAGGAAGAAATAATGAAAGGGTTTGTGGAGTCTTAATCCATTCAGAATGAATTTTCAACATCGTCCCTTCATTCAGTCATTTCTCTGAGGCACGAAAAACTGGTTGGGAAATTTGTGAAGACTTTTACTGATCAGATGAAGATCTTCATTTGATGTAAAGTCTACAGTATATTAAGTACATGTAGATCAAAAATACCAAAATTAATATAACATGAAGTTTGTTAACATGGTATTACAGACTTTCATTTGGAGGCCCAGTGAAGCAGAAATACAAATAACCTCACAATACAAGGTCTATGCTAAAAATAGTTGGAATTGTACTGCACTTCACATACACTCAAACAACAACAGCAACAATTCATGTCAAATGTGTGGACTTTCCCCCCATTGAAAAATGAATTGAGAGATGGGAATAAATACCATACTTGGCTTAAAAGGATTGTAAACACGTAAGTTTAGGACCACTTTTTTTAATAACCGGAAGCATGTATGCATATGCTACGCAATTTTTCATCACTTGAATGACTGGTAAATGTAGCAAGACAAAACCAGTTGTTAGTTTCCCATGAAAATAAGAGTTATAAATGTTCCTGGGGGAAAAATGTTCAAGGGGCTGAATACATGTAAATCAAGTTAACCAGAGTGGTAAAGGTACATAAAGAGAATCCACTGAAAATATTTGGTTCTGTCAATGTTTGTAAAAGAGAGAAGGAAATTGTTCAATTTTTAATTCTGTTTATCAAACCTGTAGGTCTTTTAATCCAAAATTGTGTCTTTTACACACAGTGGAAACACCACTAGTAGCAGCAAATACATACATAACAAAAAAGGTTGCCATTTTGAAAATAAAAAAGATGCAAAGCCCTCTCTCATTCCAACAAAATCTGAAAGTTTCAATATTTATATTTGTACTTGGCCTAAAAATTTGGGGGTGTCAGTTACATTTTTTTCACATTTTAAATGCATTTTTCACATTTTATGATGGAGATCTTAATTTGGAGGCATTTGCTTGAACCAAAATTCAGTATTTTCTGAACTTCAAGCTTTTTGGGATAGAATAATTTCATAGAATTTTTTATGTGTCCTTTCTAGCGCAACTTTATTTTACAAGGGATCACAGTTCATGAGTAACATGTAGTTTAAGCCAAAAAATTCATAACAGAATAGAGTCATATGCTATTTGCCATTGTTTCATTTAAATGTCCTCACAGGATGTGCAATCTCCTCGAGAAATTGCATCCAGAAAATAGACAACAATGTTCAGACTTCAGAGAAAATATGGTACAGCAATTTCAAGTATTTCACTTAACAACATCACTGGTTATAATTATCTATTAGTTCTAGTACATGTACATACTGTACATGTACATGTATACACCACTATTAATAGCATAATATCTGGCATATTTTTTAGCCATCCTCAACTTGAAAGCCCCAGGACTGAAATAAAATGGAACTGCAATAAAACAATATCATATAAAATAACAAGAGGTGGTTTACATGTACATCATTCATTTTTGCTGTAGGCCTTGCCTAGGTGGATTCTCTGACCAAATTACGCGACGGAGGATGAAATGAAGACAACCTTCAACCTAGGCTACTGTAGTCTCTACTTTCATGTAATTGACCAATTGGGAGGATGGTGATTTATTGCTGCTATAATAAAAGCCTCCAACTTATTTCAGGTTGAGTTTGTTACAGAAAATAAGGCTCTTGGCTCATATAAACACTACACTGAACATAAAAAAATCAAAAGTTAGAAGTAAAAAACCCTAATCATGCTACTACACGTCCATGTACACTGTACAGTATGTCATGATCTCCTCATTTACATGTATTATTATTACCACATTCATTGTTTGCATCATTACACGTATCACCATCACATCACCACAGCTGCTAATTTTTATCAGCATTTTTTTTAATTGACAAACAATTAAAACTTAGTTACATTAAAAGATCTGTATACGAAATATTGATAATTTAATCATGGAAGCGTGTCCTTCCTCTAGGATTCAACTTACTCTTTTGGGTGCGGTTTATTTCTCCTCGTTGGGGAAATCGGTCTCATTCTGGCTCTATCTTCCGTTTTGACATTTTTGTCATAATAACTGTGCTCATAAGTAGTTGGTCTTTTATTTGGAGATTTGCTCCAGTCTTCCATCTCTTCAGTCCAGGCAAGGAGAGCGTCTCGCTTTATTTCCACCAGATCCCTGGGGCTAGTTTGGTATTGCGGCCGGCCGTACGTTCCCCGCCCTCCCAAGCGGCCCTCCTTGTTGTACCGGTAACTGGACATGGTCGGGTCTGCCGACTTCGACCGGAATTTGGTAACAATGCTACCCCGGCCTGGCAAGATGTGTCCGGTTGCCATGATTACTGGCGTCTTATTTCTCCAGATCCTATTCGGTAGTCTCTAATAACATCTGATCCAACTTTTGTCCTGAGAAGCTGGACAGAAATGAGCTTGTTAGAGACGTTTCAGAGTCGGTATTTTACATCCGTGTTGTGTGGTCTCATTCATTGTGTACACCAGGTGACCTTTCCAGCTCTAAGCAACCAGTTTCTGATTGATATGGTAATAAAGCCACTTTCGTATGTTAATTTTATGACCTCTGAGTCACTGCTTTTGCGCAGACGCTCACTTTGAAGCTTCTGCGCAAAAGATGGTGGCTCCCAGGGTTTGTTATCAGGAAGTGAGAACGGTGAGTTACCTTCCCAAATTTGCGATAATATACTTGTTATTTGTCCATTTACAAGAACCTGAAAAAAACTAGAGATAACTGAATATATTAGATTATGGCATGTAAAAATCAAGCTTTAGAAAGCAAGGAGATCTCTGCAATACATTACTTCAGCCTTTTTAAGATTT